GTGCTCCCAATTAAAATCATTAGATGAAATTCAGTAAATGTTTGCTTTGGTTTTAAAGGTTCAAAAAGATTTCCTAAGCTGGTGGCTAAAGTTATGGTAGAGATGGGGAGAGGTGGAAGAGGGAAGAGGGAAGCGGGCGAGAATAGGAGGAAAAGAGAGAAAGGAAACCATGGGAGATAAGGATGCAGCTCTGGAGCTGATGCCAGGGTTCCAATTCCCACTCTTGCACTTGCTGGACAAGCACCCCTAGCAGCACCAGCCTCATTCTGATGAGCACAGTGGAGATGAGGCTAGTGCTCACCTCTTAGGGCTGCCATCAGCAGTCAGGGATGCTACTTCACATGTGGATGTTGCTCAGAACAGCACATGGCCCGCAGGAAGTACTCTATAAATATTAGCTACTGATATTATAATTGAAATGTAAGAAGTCACACTTTAGCTTTCCTTCTCTAAATGCAGTGGTTGTGGTATGATTTATGTAAAGAGTCATTAAGTCAGGGTGAGGCGGAGGTTGAATTAAGTCATTTGTAAGGCTGCCATGGTAGAAGCTCTAGGTGCCCTGACCTCCACCCCACTCTAAGAAGAGGTCAAAGCCCAATCTATGTGTCAAGTTAAACATAGCCCAGCCCTGGTTAGACACCCAGTGGGAGCTGAGAAGGACATGGCAGGTGAGCTTGGAAGATCCATTGCAAACACGGCACTAAGTCAAGTGCACAAGACTAGAAGTTCACAACACCAGAGGCAGGAAAAGGTAGTAGGAGACACAGGTAGGAAGGTCTAGGAAGCCCAGGTCCAGATGCAGTTCAGGCCACACCAGCATCTTTGCTGTAGGGAGAGAACCAGACCAAGGAAGCTAGGAAGAAAGACAGGCATGAATTCCCTACAAGTCTGAGAGCATACCCAGAGAAACACTCACACTTCATTGGCCAAAGAAAAAGAGATAGGCCCTTGACCTGGGGCAAAACACCCACTTTCTAAGAGAGAAGGCACAGGGTTCTCACTCACCTGTAGCTGGAGTAGTTATCAAACAGCCAAAGACAGCAATCATCAGAAAGTTACCTGTCTAATGACACTTTTACTTACATCTACATTTGAAATATTTTCCCCCCAATGTAAGACCCAACCTTGAATGGAAATTTCAGCCATGAAAGTGTTAAACTTATCCAGGCTGTTGTGTATGGAATCGACATTCAAGCTTTCATAATACAATATTACATTTACCTTTAGTTACAATCAGGTGTTCAGCTTTGCTTAAGAAATGGTCTCACTAGTCCAGAGGTTGACAAACTATATTCCTCAGGCATATCACCTGTTTTTTTTATAAATTACGTTTTGTTGGAACCTAGCCACATCCACGTGTTTGCTCATTATCTGAGGCTGTTTGGGGCTACAAAAGGAGAGTCTGCTAGTTTCCATAGAAACCATATGGCCAGCAAAGTTTGAAATATTTACTCTCTGGTCCTTTATGAAAAAAAGTGTGTGACCTCTGAAATAGTCAATAGAAGAATAAGTGGGAGCACAAGTAGATAAACATTTCTTTTCGATTAAGACTGTTAAGAGTTCATTTATTTGCTTGAACATATTTAGTGAGCATCTGGCATGTACCTTGGCAGTTCCTATGCCAGGGGGACAGAGCAGCGGAGAAAACTGAGTGCTTATCTTCAGGAAGCTTTCACTCTAGTGGGGAGAAATCAACCAAAACAAGCACACAATGTGGCACACAGAGATATGCCCTTTAAGGAGACATAATAAGTTTTGAAGGAAAAGTGGGGCTAGCATTGTGGTGGGAGGAGGACTTTGATTATGTGACATTTAAACAGAGACCATCCTCACCCCACAATGGAAGTAAGCCTTGTTTTCAGGTAAGACTATTCCTGACAAAAGCAGCAAAGATAAACAAAAAAATAAAATATATTCAAGGAAAACTAAGAGAAGGTCAGTGGGTTGGGTTTGGTATATTTAAGAAAAATTAAGAGAAGGTCAGTGGGTTGTATCAGGTTAAGCAGTGGTGAACAGGAAAAGGAGATGAATTTAGAAAGATAGCAGGTGTCAGATCTGATAAAGAATTTGGATTTCACTCTGTTACTTGAAAAGCTAATTAAAAAGTTGTATCCCAAAGTAGTGAAATCATCTGATTCTTATTTAAGAGCAATTACTCTGGCTGTGGTATGTACTGTAGGAGTCAAACATAGAAGCAAGGAAAGCAGTTCAAAGGCTCTATCAAACATAGAAGTCAGGAAAGCAGTTAAAAGTCAGCCTCTGCTAGGTTTTGCTGCAATAAGAGGAACTGTAGAATCTCGGTGATTTAGAATCACAAAAGTTTATTTCTGGCTCAGGTTGGATGTTGACTATTGCTCTGATTGATACTGTCTGAAATCCATATAGAAAGACTAGCCCCAATCTGTAACATCATGGGGGTCATGGCATGGGGAAGAGAAATGACATAACTACATGATGGCTCTTGCTCAACAGCAGAACATGTCATTTGCATACATATTTTGCTGGCCAAGACACACAAATAGGCATGCCTATTATCCACATATCTCACAGGAAGGTGTAGTGAACTGTGGGGATGGTGATAAAAAAAAAAATCTACCCTAGCAGTCATGACAAAGATTTTTGGATGAAGATGACTGAGGTGGAGGGAATGAGATGTAACTTTGTTCTAAATATATCTCGGACAGGATTGCTAATGAATCAAAAGCTGTAAGAGAAACAGAAGTCAAGAATGGCTCTAATGTGTTTTGCCTTTAACTGATACAATAGGACCAAACTTATGAAATAAATGGAATCTAGCTTCTCCCTCCCCCTTTTTTGGCACTTACTACTCACTTCCTTCATATCTACTCTCAGTTTCTTTGAGGGCTCTGGTCTTAAGTGGTTAAGCTCACTAGCTGCAGGAGAGTTATTGCAAAGGGTAAGAGCATAAGCTCTAGAGTCAGATAGACTGTGCTGGGGTTTTTTGACATCTCCTTTCTGTGACCCTGGGTAAATTGATAAATATCACTGAGCTTCCGTTGTATAATCTTTAAAATGATGGGTGTCATTTTCCTTACAGAATGTTTCTAACATGAGATAAGATATGTGTCTACAACATATTAAATGCTCATTGAATGGTACCTCTTGTTAGTAAGAGTCTAAAAGGGAAGATTTAGGGTAAGTGGGGAGGGAGGCACCGGCGAGGTAAGTAACCTTAGTTGACTTGGGAACATGTGCTCATTATCAGCTGGGTTCTCCAGCTTCTCTTGCTGCATTTTCACCACAGACTTGATGAGGGAAGCTTGTTACCCCCACTTTACAGATGAGTAAACCAATACACAGAGGCATTAAGTGATTGTTCCCAAGGTCACACAGCTTGGAAAGCAAAGAAGTAGGACTAAAACACCAGTGTGTTTGAATCCCAGGCCTGGGCTCAAATAAATCAAATAAAGAATTTAAAATGTTGGTGTAGTTGCTATTTATAGTGCACTTATTTTTGATGGCATTGACTATCATAAAAGTTAAACTGATCATGTATGAAAAGCAATCTGTGAATTCACTTCTAGGAAATAGTACGAGCGATTATTTTGCTCCATGCATGCACAAGCTTCTCAGAGGATATATGCAAATGTACTACAGAATTAGAAAGTCTTATTTATAGTCTGGGGCCAGGGAAATAGCTTTCTGGCTTGAATATAAAGGAAAGTAGAAGAGATAGTGAAAAGGCCCAGCCATAAGGAGTGAGAGTGGAAATCCCCACTTGATAAGAGAATATGAAAAGAACAAATGCAGCTAAAAACAAACATGTTAGTAGGTAAAACCACTGTAGTATTGAGAGTAACATAATTAAAAAATAAGTGCGATCCTACTTTAATACCAGTTCCATGATAAAAATATTTTTAAAAAGTAATGCCGAAATCTGGTGCATATGCATTGAAAGCTGGTCCTTCATACATTGCTCTGGGCAATTGAAGATGAAAAGTAATTTGGAGAAACACAGAAGACTTTAAAAATATTCATATTCTTTGATTCAATAATTCCCCTTCTGAGAATTCATTCCCAGAATAATTCAAACTACTAGTGAAAGAAAAAAAAAAAGAAGATATTCTTTGTAGACTTATTTGAATGATAGCTCTTAAAATGTTGGTCCCACAAATGGGTAATGGTTAAATCAATTATGATACTGCTACTCCCTAGAATTTTATACAGCTATTGAAGCTTAAAAAGAAATACAGATTGAGCAATGAAGAACTGATACATGTTACAGCCTGGATAAATGAAAGCATGCTAAATGAAAGATGCAGGATGCATATGTGTGATTCCTTTTATATGAAGTGTTTGGAATAGGCATATCTGTGGAGACAGAAGTAGAATAGTGATTGCCTAGGGCTGGGTGTATGGGGAGAGGGTGAAGAAATGGGGAGTGACTGCTAATGGTAATAGATTTCTTTTGGGAGTAATAACAATGTCCTAACTTAGATTGGGATGATGGGTGCACAACTCTGTGAACATACTAAAAATCATGTCATTGTATACTTTAAATGGGTGAATGATAATTCATAAAAATGTTAAAAAATACAAATAGAGTATAATTAAACCTAAGTTATGCAAACATAAAAAACCAACTGTATATAACCAACAGTAGTTTGGCTCAAGGGGTGAATTTAAGGGTGAAAATATTTGCCTTCTTTTGTTCAATTTTTTTGCAATATGATTACAGGTTTTATTATTATTATTATTATTATAATTAAAAAGAACAAAGTAGATGTAATGAGGAAATAGAAACATTCTCCTCCACCAAAATAGTTTTTTTGGGCTTTGTTTTTTTTTTTTCCTTGCTAACTTAAGAGTAAGAAAATTTAAAATGCAGCAGCCTTCACAATCCCTTCTGGACATTTCAAGCCATTTGATACTCTTTTTACAAAGGGAAACTAAAACTATACTAATGAGTGTAACCCCAATGAAAAATATACACTTAAAAATTCTGGTATATTGAACATACATGTCTTCTCATTTTTTAGGAAGTGATAGAAGCAATCGCTGAGTGTGCATTTAAGACTTCACCTTTTCCAATTCTCCTTTCATTTGAGAATCACGTGGACTCGTAAGTATTTAACACATGCAACAGGAAGTCTTTTTCCCAAATAGGGCATGTTTAATAATTGTTCATCTGATGTAAGGTTACTGACATTATTAATGGTTTTCTTTGATATGTTTTATATTAGGTGGCATGTTTTCATCTGTGTGAGATAGAATTCATTCATTTAAATCTCATGTATGTTAACATAATCCACCGGACTTAAAAAATCTATTTTCATGCCATAGTAGGATTCTTACAAGGCAATGGAGCACATTGCCTTACATTTTTAGTACAATAGTACAATTTTCTATTACAAAGGAATAGATCCTCCTCCATTAGCTCCTTCTGTTGCATGCAAATTGATGGTCAGTTTAGCCGTACCACAATGGAGAGTTTCATACACAGGGGAGCTGGTGCATGGACAGCTGTAGATTCTATTCTGCCACTTTGCACTTATATAGAACTCAGACCACCAGATGTTTTCTCTATTCTCTTCCCATTGGTATCCCCTGTTTGTTAGTATTGGCAAATGTTTTCCTATTTCAAAATATCCTGCACTTATTGCTGAGTGCACACAAAGAAAAGGCAGTTTTCACTTTACTATGTTTTATATTCATTTATTACAGAGGACCAGCATAAGACACATTTATTTCAAATACATGGGTATTAGTTTATCATGCACTCAACTTAAAGAGCTTCAAAATGAAATAGTCTAATCTGTATTGAATCAAAATTCAAGCAATTGAAATTCTTGACCATGGAATTAACATCTAAAGATGATGGAGAGGCCATCATGGCTCAAACCAGCCTTTTTCTTTTCTTTTTCGTTATTTAATATATTTTATTGATTTTCCACAGAGAGGAAGGGAGAGCGATAGAGAGCTAGAAACGTCGATGAGAGAGAAACATTGACCAGCCGCCTCCTGCACACCCCCCTACCAGGGATGTGCCCTGCAACCAATGTACATGCCCTTGACCCGAATCAAGCCTAGCCCTTTCAGCCCACAGACTGACGCTCTATCCACTCAGCCAAACCGGTTTCGGCTCAAACCAGCCTTTGAGAAGTCGTCCTCTTTCATTCCAATGACCTGTGCCAGTTTTCTCTACCAGCCAACAGCACCTGTCCTAACCTAGTCATAAGGTTCTTTCTCCCTGCTCACTAGGGAACTTTCAGGACTAGGAAAGTTCTTTCCAGGTCACTGATTTGTTCTGCCCAACTAATTCCCACACATGCTTCACTCACTAAGTCTTAGGGAAGCAGGTTGGTCATGAGCAAATCTCAGCTTCAGGAATTCCTAAGTAGTTAAATGTGATCATCTGTTAACGTGTTTGGGGCGAGAGACCTTCTGGTTTGCCCTCGGGAAACCTGTGTTACATTTACCAGCTCATGATTCTGTCTCATTAGAAAGCAGTCACCCAATGGATGATGTAATGGTTGGGTCCATAATTTTTTTAACGCTCCTGCGGGTCAATTGAAGAGAAAATGCGTTATTCCCTTACATTGCTCTTTCTGTTTCAACAAAAAGGAGCAGTGCCCCTTCAGTTGCTGCATTTCTTACCTCATTTGCTGCGGCAGCTCTGATTTACAGGTGACTTTCCTGGAGCGTTCTCTGATCTCTGCCCTCCCGTTTGTAACAGGCTCTCCCAGTGCTTTAGCATCTTTCTCCCGGTACTGTAGTCCCCAGACTTGTTGATGGTTATTTCCTTTGTGGAAAGAATATCTCTACACCTAGCACCTTTATTTTCTTCAAGAAATGTTTCTATGTAAATTAGACAAAATGAAAAGCTGTTTACAAAATGTACAAATCCATTCTTAATGATCACACCCACTACATTGAGTTTTCCCATAGGTAGCCAGAGAGATATCAATAACCAAAACCACCACACACATAATAACAGCCAAGATTTATGAGGTTGTTCCAGGCATAAGCTCGATTAACCCTCACCACAAATCCAGGTGCTTTTACAAATACATATCATTATTATAATTATCACTATTTGACAGATGAAGAAACTGAGTCCCAAAGAGAGTAACTTTCCCAAGGCCATTCAGCTAAACCAGTGGTCGGCAAACTTATTAGTCAACAGAGCCAAATATCAACAGTACAATATTTTTAGAGACAAATTTTTTAAACTTAAACTTCCTCAAAAGCCACTTCTTCAAAATAGACTCGCCCAGGCCGGGGTATTTTGTGGAAGAGCCACACTCAAGGGGCCAAAGAGCCACATGTGGCTCTCGAGCCGCAGTTTGCCAGCCACAGAGCTAAACCATGGCAGAGCTGGGATTCAAATTCAGCTAATCTGGCTTCAAACATGGGTTTAAGCACCACAATCCCCACATCTAAGCAGAGGTTCATGAACCTTGAAAACATCAAATGAAGACCACGAGAGCATCCATAAGGCACCTGCCTGCAAATGTTCACATTTATACAGTTGCACCCTTAACCACAGGTCATTTTTGCCATCTCTTAACCTCCGCCACACGGAGAGCCAAAACTGGGCATGAACGCTAAGCCTATGTTGCACACAAAAGCAAAAATGATAGTGCCATAATACTGTTCTCTCTGGTTTAAAACATGAGAAATTTAGCTATTAAAAGTTTATGAATAATTCATGAGTAACAAAAGAAAACAGGAAAACAACCTCTGGATGTCCTGCTGTTTATCTCCAACCACTGAGATAATCTAATGGCCGTGAAATACAAGGATACTGACTTCTATTGTGGGAGGAAGTTGTTTGCTTCATAATCCTGTTGTCCTTGAGCTGCACAAATCAAAATCGCTCAACCACAGTCCTTTCCTACAAGGACTGTCACGCACCCTAAGAAATCTGATAAGCTTTCCCTTTGCTGGTAAAACCCTCTGCTTGACACATGGGCCATCTCACCTCGTCGCTGTACTGGGAGCCAGATATCATTCATCAGCTGCAGCACGAGTCCCCACTAAACCAGACGTAACCTCAGAATCCTTCTCAACACAGAGACCCAGGGACATACCCATCTCTCATGAACTATGTTACCCTCCTGCAGATAAGCAAGTGCCAGGCTTAGATCTCTGGTCCCAGCTCCTATCCCAACTTACTGGGAAAAATAAAACTCACAGAATATCCTGGTTTTCTATCCAAATATCTGCACTCACCTATTCATGGATGGCGGAGGAGAATCCGACACCAGTTGCTGGCAACTTATCTTTTGTTCACCTGCTACCTTCAGAAACCCATAAAATGCAGATTCCTGAGCCACACCCCTGCTCCTGACTTCAGATTTCTAGAAAGAAGACTTGGAAAAGTCCTAGTTAACTCCCACGCTCCACCTAATTTGTGAACAACTCTTTCACAATAAGAATCCAATACTGAAATCCAATGAAGTAGCATCTAGCCATGGTTCAGCCAGGGACGGTGGGAGATTTGGCCCGGGCTTTTCATTTCCATGCACTGCGGATGCCTCATCTATAGAGAAGGGGCTGGTTTGGTTCAACTTGGAGGACTGAGCCCATGAAATGAGGCACGTTTCTCGGTCAGAAAGCTGACCACTTTGCCAGGTGCCTACATTTGATTAAAACACTGCAGGTACTTTAATACGTCGAGATGTTTCTGCTATGATCTGAAGCTCAAAAATGTATATGTGGATGTTTTCCTCTTACTTCATCTCCATGGTAGCCACTGTTGATACTCTCAATGCTATTCCTGCAGTTCTGACCCTCAATGAAAGCTGGTTTGTTTTCCATGGGCTTTTTCTATTCAGTTTGCCCTCTGTTGTGCTTCAGTTTCCTGTCAGGTGCACTTGAGGAGAGCGCGATTGCCTGGTTACCAGATAGGGCGCTTTGCTTTTTTCTTGGATACCTACCTCTGGTTCTCCCATCTCTGTTGGTTTTGAGGCAGGTTTATAAAAAGTCTAGGTCAGACGCAGATCTTTGCTATACAAAGTGCAGTTGATCCGTGGACCAGCACCGTAGGCATCACTGGGAGCTTGATTGAAATGCAGTCTCAGGCCCCACCCCAGACTCTGACTTTTAACCCTCATTTTCTTAAGACCTCCCATGATTTGAGTGACGCCTAAGCTCTCTGCTCTAAGCATCGAAGCCTGTTAACCACCTGCCTTGGAATTACCTGCAGACAAGTTACAAATGCCAGTTCCAGGCCTCCACTACCAGCCCAGTGAGTCAGGGGACTGGAGACTAAGCCTGCTCCCCTGCAGCTTTAACAGCTTCTGGTGACTCTTTAGTGGAATCAGGTGTAAGATTTTGCTCCAGAAAATCCCTTCTCTGGGCTGGAGGACTGTTGGACAAAGCACAGGAGTCTGCCTGTCACCCACAATGGGACACCTGGAACATCTCCCTCTGCTGGTGAGAGTACTGTTCCCAGAGAAATCCTGAAAACTGGGCATTTGGCTGAAAAACCCTTTTCCCTCTAGGTCTCTGATCAAAGGAACTTGGAGCTCCAAATACCAAAACTCAAGAAAAAAAATCATCTACTACTTCAGCATCTGTTGACTTTTTTTAATCAATCATAATATTTAAGGTTGTTTTGTTTTTTTTTTAATTAATCCTCACCATTGATTTTTAGACAGAGTGGAAGGGAGAGGAAGAAATAGAGAGAGAAAAATAGTGATGTGAGAGAGATACATCAATTACTCCCACACATACCTCCATCACTGCTGGGGATCAAGTCTGCAACCAAGGTACAGGACCTTGACCAGGAATCAAACCCAGGACCCTTCATTCCGCAGGCTGATGCTCCAATCACTGAGCTAAATTGGCTAGGGCAATCAAAGCTGGTTTAAACTTGAGCATACTTCAGAATGATCTAGAAGCCTTGTTGAGACACAGACCTTGAGCCGTGTTTCCTCAGAGGTTCTGATTCAGAATCTGCCTTGAAGGCCTGCATTTCTAACCAGCTCCAGGGGCTGTGGATGCTGCTGGGCCTGGACCACAGTTGGGTAGCAAAGCTCTGTGACGTTTAGTAGCTTCATTCTATGAAAGTGAATTGAAGGGTCTGGACAGTTTCTTTGTTTAATCCGGACCATGCGGGCCCCGCACAGATGGATGTGCTTTAGCTACAGGCACAGAGCTGGCTGGCTTGGTTGAGCCTCTGGGTCAGTTATCCTTTGAGCAAAAGAGTCTGAACTGAGGATTCCCGGGCTGCCTGCCAGATGGGCCGCATCTCTGCTTGCTCCCCAACTTCTCAGACATTGCACCCCCAGTTATTTTCGGGACAGCTGCTCTGACTAGCAGTTTTCCTGTGAAACTGCTGAGGAATGCCACAGTATATGCTCAGGGCTGCCTGGCCATGCAGTCAAGCTCATATGCCTCCAGAAAGGCAGGTTGAGACATTGGGAGGCTGCTACGTAGGGATTTGCAAGTTCTGTTAATCTCTTCATTGCCTCTCCCTGCAGTTCCATATTTGGGTTCATAGTTGGACCCCAGAAAATTCACTTGAACCCCAACATACATGTTTTTTTTTTGTTTTTTTTTTTACAAAGGGGGGAACATATGGAGTGCTTTTCCCTGTGGGCCATTGCAATATAATTTGAACCCTGTAAGTTACCTCCCTTCCAGGAAAATGCAATCCATGATCCAGGCTTAATAGTCATGTCTTCCAAGAGGGAAGAAAAATAATCACGTTTAAAATCAACTGCAATTGTATAAAGAAGGCTTTTTATCACTTACTTCTCCTTGCTTCGGCCCCAGTCCTGCTAAAGGTATTCACGTCGCAGCACGTAGAGGGGACTGTTGGAAATCGAGTTTGGCAGCTTGTAGATCAAAATCACAGTCCACAAACCCCGATGGAATTGGAAGCCTTTGTAATGATACTTAACATTCTACAGAATGAGAAAAATGTTATTGCTTTGCGAAAGGTCAAAGGAAGCAGGTGTAATGAAAGACTGCGGATGTTCCCTCATAGGAATGGTGTTCCTATGTTCTCAGGCTCGCAAGTTGTCTCGTCTGACTGCGATCATCTTTCCTTTGCCCTGGTCTTTAATGTTGAAAGGCGTTTGCATCCATTACTTCATCTTCTCAGCAGCACTGTCCCTTTCCAGGAGTAGTTATTTTCCTCTCCATTACACATCAGGAATGATGGAGAGCCTGGAGTCTTCATCAGACCAGATGCCTGCAGCACATAGTCAGGCTGACAGACCCTTGCTTCCCTACTATGCACATAAGAGCTGCAGGCACCTTTCTCCAAGGTGCCTGCTGCTTTTGTCTTTCCTCTAGGATCTCTTCCCAAGACTTCTGCCCATCTGCCCTTTTCTTCTACATTTTAAGACATATTCTCTCATTCTCTCCTTCTCTCCTTCTCTCCCTCTCTCCTTCCTCTCTGTCCAAATCCCTCCTTTCCTCTCTCTCCTCCCTTACCTCCTTATAAACCTCCTTTGCAGTCTAGGTCTCTCTGTTGGTTGAACAAAGTTCATCTAAGAATTCACATGAAATCATGAACAAATTCCACTCCCAAGTGTCTTGCATTTGACTTGGAATCGGGAAATTAAACCAAAGGGCCTAACTCTGGGACATTCTAGAATACCACTGGAGTGTGGTATTCAGATTCTCAGAGGGCAGGGTAGGAAACAAGGGATTTTGAATGATAAACTCGGATCCAGAAAGGGCATTGCCTCCTTCTTGTTCAATTAGGGCTTGGAAGAGGAACTCCAGACTCCAGCTATTTTTTAAAAGAAAGAATAATCTTGAAAATCTGGCTTTCTTTTGCTGCTATAACTAGGAACTTCGTGTTCACACACCAGAGCTACTAGTAGTTAATAACACAGTAAGCCTTCCTGCCCAGCCTCTCGGAGTAAGCCTCCTTCTCTCTCCTTTCCCGCAGCCCGAAGCAGCAGGCCAAGATGGCAGAGTATTGCCGGCTGATCTTTGGGGAAGCGCTTCTCATGGAGCCCCTGGAAAAATACCCAGTAAGTATTTTTGATGTTTACCCCTGAAGGAACGCATGTATTATTTATGAGTGAAGGTAGGGAGTTAATTCCTTACATGCCTTTCAGGTTTACCTTTCTTGGTAAGATTATGTCCTTGAAAAATGAACCTTTTGAGAGGGGGTAGTGTGTGCCACTGAGAGTGGGAGACAACCATTGTCTTCCTCTGTCACAGTCTCCCTCCCTCTGCCTCGCTGCCAGACGGAACCCACTCAGGACTACAGGATTCCCACAGGCAACAGCAGCCTGAGGGGACAGGGTTCCGATCACCTCCCAGGAACCATATCACACCCCTCTGAGAGAAAATGGTTGGCAAAACGGGACCTTGCAGGTGGCACAGGGACATCTAGGCCTGTCCCTGCTGGCCGCTGCTCACTTCCCAGCAAGTGCCTCTTGGTGTGGTAGAACTCAGGCGTCCTGTCGCCATGGTAACACCCCTGCTTTGGGAGGGGAGGCAGCAGAAACAGCCTCAGGTAGCCTCTTCCCTCTTCCAACCTCTCTCAAAGTCTCCCCACGATTTTTCATACCAGGGCCGGGGCTCATTGAAAGCAAAGAACATAGGAGTTTGTGGGAGTTTCTAAAAATAGCGCCTCGCGGGACTTACACAGGTGCTTCTGATGCAGCATCTAATAACCCTCTCAGGGGGGATTGATTTTCCCACTAGAGGTGCAAGCTTGAAACACGGGAAGGAAGCCTTGCAAACAAGGGTGGCTTGTATCTCAGGGTGGCAAGGGAATCCGAAGCCACCCGCTCCGCTTCTGCCGATGCCAAGGAGGCTACAGCTTAACTATCTGGCACCAGGAAGGAGTCTTTGCTGTTTTTACACTGCACTGAAAAGTGGGTTCTACGGGCTGGCCTGTCTTTCCCAGCTCTTCCTGGCAGGCACCACATTCTAACTGGCTTCCTCCTTGGGCAATCCAGGCCAGGCCTCTTTCTCTGTCCTAAATCAAAGCGGTTGGATATATAGGGTCCTATGGAAACTCATGGAACTTCGTGTTCACACACCAAAGCTACTAGTGTATTTTCGTGATCTGATGCATGTGGATTCGCTGGGGGAAAATAACAACGGTAATTATAATGTGCCTTCTGTGTGAGGAGCTGTGAGCCAGCCCCGCTCAGCACACACTTAGTTTATCTTCATCTTTTCTTATTGGGAGCAAAGGATAAGCTGGAAGCTCTTGGAATCCAGAGCTGTCCTGAGTCTTGGGGAGAGAGTCCGAAAGAAAAAGGGAGGGATTTTCAAGATTGTTCTTTCTTTTAAAAAATAGCTGGAGTCTGGAGTTCCTCTTCCAAGCCCTAATGATTTAATGTACAAAATTTTGGTGAAAAATAAGAAGAAGTCACACAAGTCGTCGGAAGGAAGCAGCAAAAAGAAACTCTCAGAACAAGCCTCCAACACGTGCAGCGACTCCTCCAGCGTGTTCGAGCCCTCGTCTCCCGGAGCTGGTGAGGGGCTGGGGGTCCTAGGGCTGGCAGGCGAGGGGCTAGGGGCAGGTGGGCTCTCTGTCTCCCTTTATGCAAGGGTTTCAGAATTGCTCCTCTAAAACCAGCTAGGAATACTTCTTACATTTCTATTTGGGCTCCAATCTAAACGTTGCTGGCTTTCTTTTGCTGCTATAACTAGGTGGTATAAAACTACACACATGTCTTATCCCCCAGTTCCGGTCAAAAGGTCCACGTGGCGTCACTGGGCTAACCTGCAGGCAGCGGCAGGGCTGCATTCTTTTCTGGAGAGTCTAGGAAATCCCAGTCCATGCTTTTTCCAACTTTCAGAGGCCACCCACGTTCATTGGCTAATGGCCCCATTCCTTCAGCATCAAAGCCAGCAATGCAGCTTCTCATTGACCCTTCTGTCATCTGCCTCTGATCACAGCCAAGAAAGGTCTGCTGTTTTGAATAACTCATGTCTTTACAGCAGACCCAAATGGATAATCCAGGACATAGGACATAGTCACAGGACATGGACATTTTGGAGAGGCCATGATTCTGGCTGCCACAGAAGCCAGATAACCTTTAGAGTGACCTCATGGTTTTAAGTTTCTGTAGGGCATGGATTCCTTGTCATGAATTATACGACTGGCACAAGATGTTCATTGCACCTGCATTCTCATTGATGATGCTGAAGACTTTTGGGCAATTCAGTATACCCCTATTTTAAAGAGCTCTATTAAAATGTGAAAGAGCAAAGGTAGATTCAAAGCTACTAGGTGATGCTTAACATTAATAATTCTTTTTATTTAATTTGAAGAAGATTTTCATCATTGATGAGAAAAGAACTCTAAGTGGTCATCCATTCTCTCTAAATTATTTCTGATTTAGTCTAATTTATTTCCCAAGTTTAGTTAAAATAACCTTGGCAATCTGAAAAGTGTATCGTGAAGACCTCCTGGTTAGAGGGTGGGCAAGTGGAGGGAACTTTAGGCTTGAATCTAGGAAGTTCTTCAATGAAATGTTTAACTGTCATTGGAACACTGTTGGGCAGTATCTCTGAAAGCTGACTGTAGGCAACCCCATGCCCCAGGAATTCTGCCCCTAGGTCTGAGCCCAAGAGAAGTGCGCCTGAATGTTCACCAAGGGACAGGGACAGGAAGTGCTTAGAGCAGCATTATTCAGCACAGCCACACACAGAAAACCAACCAAATGCTCACCAGCAGAGAAACACATCCTGCTACATCCACATCGTGGGATAATATGTGGCAATTATGAGCTACAACTGCTCACAAGTATATGAATAAATCTCAGAAATATAATGTTGAGCAAGAAAAGTCAAATTTTAAAAAGTATGGCAAAATTCCATTTATATAAAGTACCAAATCAGGCAGGACTGACTCGTGTCATTGGAAGTCAGCATTGGTAGGAAGTGACTGGGAGGAACCTAAGGAAGCTTCTGGTCATATTTTGTTTCTTGATCAGAGTACTAGTCACTAAGGCAGGTTTATATTGGTTAAATTCGTTGCACTAAATGACTATATATCAATTCCAAATGACTGCTATATTGTGCCCCATGGGTTTAAGAATTGCTTAAATTCTTATGCACTAAATGACTATATATATGATACCTAGGCTTCTCTGTATACTTACCTATGGCAATTAATATATTTTAAAATAATTTTTAAAAATTAAAATATAAACTCAATGGCAATCAGGAAAATGAATGTTGGCCAACTCTCTGATTTATCTTTTCTTCTAATTTTCCATGCCAATTGTCCATTCCTTTTCTTTAGATAAAAATCCTTATCAACAGACATGATATAATTCTTTGAAAGTTTTTTTTTTAAGTTCTTGAATGTTTATTTCAAACTTATTACACAAGTCTGACTCTTTTTTCAAAAACAGCTTTTGTTCTCAATAAGAATGTTCTTTTTGAAGTTTTGGAATGAATGTTATTAACAGACCACCTATTCCCCAGCACAGTTCCATTCCCTGGTGCTGGCCAGTAACCCGTGTCTTCTTCGGATGTGGGTGCTTGGCTTCCATCTGCTTTCCTCACTCCTAGCTCTCTGCCTCTTATGCACTGGATACATACACAGATAGTGATTTTCACAGGCACCGAACATTATTGCTTAATACAGAGAAAGAGCAACAATCTGTTAGTAATTCGGTGGTTCCTAAATTAGCCCCATAGTCTGTTGAGCAATCTCTATTTATTCCGGTGGAAATTTTTGGACATTGTAATGTGCAGGTAGGCCCCTGAATAAGGAGGACTGCTAATTTACCCAATTTGGTTTATAGATATTCTTGATATTGTGAACTCAAGGAATTTGAGAATCACGAAATGGTTCTCATTTCAGAACTAATTTACTTCTCATGGCCAGGGTTGGCCAGGTGCCTCTTCTAGGATTCAGCTAGTATACATATATTAAAAAACTAGGGAAAAATAAGAGTTTTTTTCCATGGTTCAATAAGATTCCTCCAAGGTTCCTCCAAAGACATAAGGGGAAAATCAGGTTCCTGCTCATTGAGCAAAAGAAGACAAATCCTCTCTTCCCCAATGCAACCAAATCCTGACCTGATGGAGTATTTGGAATGACTCCTATATTGTGCCCCATGCAGCACTGTGCAGAAGGCCGTCAATCAACTTTTTAAATTAGTTGACAAAAAAGAATCTCCTCTCTGATTAAAAAACAAAGCATAGTTACTTGAGGCAACAAATTTGACTAGGAAAAAAAAAAGTGTTATTCTCCTAAAAGAATGTGTCTTTAATAGGATATGTTTTCTATGTAAAATATAATGGACTTACCTTATTAACTAACACAACATAAGCATCATAAAATGGCTGTATGTGGCTTGCTTTGATAAATGAGCCATAAGGCTTGCTGGAGCCAAAAAAAAATCTTTTTCCTCTAAAGATAGTTCATGAAGGTTTTGCTCACTGCAATCATTTGGTAATCGATTCAACTTCATCAGCCAAATGAAAACAGTTCTAAGCTTCTTGGAAGACAGTGCTGTGGGTACTGTCCTTTATATAGCTTGGGTATGGCAGCTAACTTATAAGGCAGGAGGGACTGGCCACGCCAGTTGCCTCATTGTTGAGCCAATATTGCCATCTATGGGTGCCATCATGCTATTGCACTGATGTAGTCAACCAATTTATAACTATGCCTTCTTTACATTTTACTTGGGACTCTATTTACATAACTGTTATTCCTGGGTCTGATGGGAGCCCAGATATGTGGAAGAACGTAATGCCTCATATTAGTGAGAGTATTTTTTAAGAATATATTTTATTGATTTTTTACAGAGAGGAAGGGAGAGGGATAGAGAGCTAGAAATGTTGATGATGAGAGAAACATTGATCAGCTGCCTCCTGCACAACCCCTACTGGGCATGTGCCCGCAACCAATGTACATGCCCTACACCGAAATAAAACCTTTCAGTCTGTAGGCCGACGCTCTATCCACTGAGCCAACCCAGTTTCTGCTAGTGACAGTATTTTTAAACTTTCACTAGCATATATTTTGTATTCAATTTACTCCCAGGCCATATGTGTGTGCTTTTTCAGTTTCTTCTGGGATATCTTTTTCTTCTGTGCAGCCTTCTCTTCAGGTTTAAGAACAGGCTTCTCTTTTGCAATAGGATCCTCTCCGTGAGGCAGGGGTGCTCCTGTGGGTTAACCTGCCCGGGAGCTCGGTGCTGCATCTTGAGAACTTGTTCGCCTGGATGTGCTCAGTGACCAGAGAGTGTACGTCTACAGCCTTACATGTAGCATCCCTCTGCAGTGTTAAGCATGTGCAGCAAAAATTCAGCACTTTTGGGGGGACCACCGACCCTGTGTCCAACCCCACTGCTTGTGGCCTGGACATACCATTGTAATGACAGAAAGGCACAGATTGCTTCTGTAAAGTGATATCCTGCAGACACTTGGTGGCTTTTCCAATATGCATACCCTTGATGGTCTGGGCAGGTTCACGAGTGTTCTTAAAGTGACCACCAAGATTTGAACTTCTTGATTTGCATTATTTTATGGGGTTATCTGGGTCAAGTGAATAAGGAACTGTTTTCAGAGGTCACCTCAGGCCACTGAAAGGCAGAGCAATGGTGATATTACTTAACCTGGCAGAATCGTCCACCAAATCTGCAGAGAGAAAAACGAGCTAGTGGGAATGACTGTGTATTGGTTACATGTGAAACTGAGATAAATTTCCATAATGCAGAATGATTTAAGTATTTACTTATTTTGCCCTACCTACCCTCTGAAACAGGATTTCCTCACATCCAAGGATGCATTTATCACATAAGCCTTCAGGCAAACAATACAATACAGTTGGAACTTAGAGTGGTTGTGTGGCCAGTGGTACCACAGCCCCACCTGCACCAGCCTCTACCCCCTTTCTTTCTTCTGTGAGGGCCTCTATAGCCTTGGGAAAGTAACTGCAAGGTCATGGAACACAGGCCACGCACTACATAGAAGAGTCAGGGTTGGAAAAAAAGATGGAAAGTGATAGTTAATCTGTTATAGGGTGATCCAGACCCTTAAAGGGAATACATGCATCAAGATAGGACACATGTGCCATCGGAAAATGTGTGTGATGTCATTTTTTTTTTTTAACATAGATTGAAATGTTTAGCATTTTTATAGAGTTTATGAATTTCAAATGGTATTCACAAAACAAATTTACCAAAAAATTTGATATTCAAAATGTTAGTATCGATATAATTCTCATGATTAACAAAATTTAAATATCCAAAAGAATCATTATAAAACAAACTGTAAAAGGCCAATTTTTAAGGAAACTTTTGGTAATACACTTGGTATGAGAGGTTTAAACCTGTAAATGTATGTTTACTTCATGATCTGTTATTGAAATTTGACAGGGGAAGCTGATACGGAGAGTGACGATGACGATGATGATGATGACTGTAAAAAGTCTTCAATGGATGAGGTAGGTGTTCAGGGGCTTGCCCTCTGGTCACAGAAGCATCCAGAGAACCTGCCAATGTAGTAGGCTACTTCTTGACAGTCCATGGTCACCTTCTGCCATCTAGTGGTGACAAGAGTCACAGTTCACTAAAACTTTTTCATACCCCTTTGGAACCTGAAGATGCAAACTTGGGTCAGTAAAGGAGTAAGTGGGGCATTGAAAAAGTTCTCCAAAATGAACATGCTGTTGAGATTTACCTTCCATCAAACTGGGTATCGAGAGCGTGAATTCAAAATCTGTGACATGCAACTTCCTGCTTCAGTGTTTGAGGCAATTAAATGGATTGCTAAATGGTCCAATGTTCAGAGAAGACATGAGGTTTGGAGAAATATTCAGAAATATGACATTCATTCTGTTGTTGTATTTTGAAAACACTAGAGTGCTATGAGCTCAAGCACCCCACATAACTTCATGAGACCAAAAATATTAATTGCACAGAACCTAGAAGTGAATTGGAGCTAGGGTGAATTGGAATTTTAACTTTGCTTTAGCAGGAGTTCTGGTTAAAAAAAAAAAAAAAGTATACTGAATCTGCTCTTAAATATGTTAAAAAGTACCTGTCTCAGTACTTGTATCTTTGCTATTCAGTTAAGAATAAATAACAAGTAATAAGCTGTTCTTCTCTGGTATATTTCCTCTTACAATTATTTTCTTTAATGTATTGGACATTTCTTATTATGTTTCCTTACTAAATTGCAACTTAATATTCAGGAAAAAATTGTTATAATGTCTGGTAAAGTATTCTGCCTGAGAATTACTTTGTTGATAAATTCTTATCAGACTTTTAACAATTTAAAAAGTATCTTTCTAATGATGATTTATTTTCATATCGGTATTGTCCAATGAATATTTAACCTAAATATTACTATAGGATTTTTCAAATGAATACTTGTCTCCATGTATTCCCTCATGTAAAAATGGGAGAAAATGTAAGATCAACCTGTAGAGGTCTATCCTGCCAATGCTCAGTATTAGTTTTTTTGTTTAAAATGTTACCAAAATAACATGTAATAGTTAATAGTCATTCAAATAACATGATGTTTTACTGTGTGCCAAGCACTGTTCTGAATTCCTTCCCACAAATGAACTCATTCAATAATCACAAAAACCATATATGCTATCAGAACTAATTTTATCCTAATTTTAAGAAGCAAACGGAAGCACAGAGCAATTAAGTAACTTGCCCAAGATTGCACAGCTTTTAAGAGTAGGCTTAGGATTTCAAGTCAAACAATCTGGTTTAAGAACTCCCGACTATACTGTACTGCTTGCCTAAAAGGCACACAGGAACCAAGAGGGGAGGAAAGGAGGAATGTTTACATAAAGAAAAACAATAGTTGTTTGCCCACCCCAACCCAATTCCACAAGGTAATCTTTCTTTTTTAATAACTTCAGTTCATCTGGGGGTTACCCACATACTCATTTCCTAGTTGTACAGTGAGTTCTTGATGTATTAACTTTAGACGTCCTGCTATGGCGATGAGCTGTAGCTCAGATAGTCTCGAACTTTCGTGCCATCTGAATCACTTCAGTGCAATGAGGATTCTGGTTTGCTGCATGTCTAAGGGTCTCCTGCAGAGGCTGGTGCCGTAGCCCCTGACCCTCCCTGCGCCCACTCCACATGTGGGTAATGAGAGGCTTGGCCTTTCCTTCTCCTGGAATGAATTTTCTGTGGGTGATAAGCATCTGCAGAAGAGGAGGGATGACTGTCTGTGCTCCTGGGTCACAGGAGCATTGCTCTGGGAAAATAACCCTGGGCAATATAATGTTGATTCTAAGAATGTTATTTTTACTCCTGCTTCCAGGGGACTGCTGGGAGCGAGGCTATGGCTACAGAAGAGATGTCTAACCTGGTGAACTATATTCAGCCAGTCAAGTTTGAGTCATTTGAAATTTCAAAAAGTAAGTTTTCCTGGAGAAAAAACCCTCATGTGACATCCAATAAGTATATTTTTAAAAGATGGTAGTTAGACAAAAAACTGTTACTGTTAATATAACTATTGGTTTTTGCTGGTAGAGTCTTTAATATGTGTGTGTATTGTCTATGTGGTATATAGGTGTTAAAAATTATAATAACCATATGAGAAAGTATCCCATGATGTTTCTCCAAAATACGTACTAGGTCTACAGATGTTGGACCAGAATACAGCTAATTGAGAGTGTTACAATTGGTTTTTGTCTGCAACCATTGTGTAAGTGACAGTGTTGAAATAAACCATCTTCCCCGAGAGGAAGCAGCCAGTGACTGGTCAGCCCTGATAACTGGAAATAGAACCAAATCAACCAATTTATCCACATTCCACTTGTCCGGCCTGTTTTGTATGTCACAGAGAACATGTGACTAGCCTCATATCACTTTGTGTTTTTTCCTTTATCTGAGCACACATTCATAGAGGATGCAAAGTAAAATATCATCTTTCTCCATCTAGAGAAAATAGTTATTTTATGAAATTGCCCTTTATTGTTGCATAAAATGTAAGATGCTATCAGGTTAAAAGGTTAGCAGCCTCTTATAAAGGATAGTTTTACAGATATTTCAAAATCTAAGCTCCATAACACACAGGTGTAACTGTGTAATTTTGCCCAACGAGTAACTTAGAGGCATATGGTATCTACATCTCTACAATAAAGAATTTAATTTCCAACACAGCTTATGTATAAAGATTTCAACATTTTCTTTGATGTTACAATTACTGATGCTGCTTACCACAAGTTGTCCACTTTGAAATGTCCTATTTATATTACTGCAACATGAGGGGAAAGCTCTGAGACAAGAAGCCAAGTTGAGAAAGAGAAGATGCATGGAAGTTCTTCAGAACTTGGTAACAATAGCTGAAACCGGATTGGCTCAGTGGATAGAGCGTCAGTCTGTGGACTGAAAGGTCCCAGGTTTGATTCTGGTGAAGGGCATGTACATTGGCTGTGGGCACATCCCCAGAAGCTGGTGTGCAGGAGGCAGCTGGCCGATGATTCTCTCTCATTGACATTTCTAACTCTCTATCCCTCTCCGTTCCTCTCTGTAAAATATCAATAAAATATATTTAAAGAAAAAAAGAACTTGGTGACAATAGCATCAGCCCAAGATGGACAAACCAGTTCTTTTCTCTTTGGATTTTAGATTATTTTATCACTTAAAAAAAAACAAAAACATTTGCACATAGTTTACAAAGGGCCTATTAAATTGACTTAATTTCCATTAACAGCCGTACTCAAAGTAATTAGTCATATGAAAGGACACTTTTGATGGTAAAACTAAGAGAAGAAAGAGTTTACAGATTATTGAATTGGTGAAAGTGAGGAGATGGGTAAAAGAGTTGGAGAAGGCATAGGAAGAAGAACGAGGCTTTAAGAAAACAAAGCATATAACAGTTTGATTTTTATTTGTGAGGAAGACGGAAGCTCCTAGGCTCTTATCCTCTCCAAGCTAAGATAACGTTGTTTTGCTTCTCTCATTCTAATTGGAAGCTTGGATTTCACTTTCAAAATGCTGCTCTATGTTCAAGGACATGGAGACCTCTAGTACATTCACCTCCCAACCTTGTTATCTAAGCTGAAAATGAAGCCATCCAACTGGGAAATTTTCAAGGAAGGATCTGCTTTGAAGTCACACAATTCCAATGTCACATTAGCTGTTTAAACCAAAGAACATATGGAAATAAACAAACTGAGGTCCTGACAGTATGAGTATAAAAAGGGGGTACCCCCAAGAAAAACACACCCTTTGATCTCTTTTGTGAGTCCCAGCAATTGCCCCAAGAAGTCAGTCTGCATGGATTTCGAACAAGAGATTTCCTCAGGGCCTGTGTCCTTTTGACAAAATAGCTGTCATTGCCACACTACCCGGACTAAAATCAGTTTCCCCACCCTGAGGCCACCAGGCCCCTGACTTGTGCAACCCTAAGCATATGTGGCCCAGGTGGTAAATGCTAGAAGAGACAATTTACAAGACCCAGCTTTTGTAGCAGATAAATAATTCCCTGAAAAAAAAAAATACAAAGTTCCATTGAAAGTTAATCGCCGTAAATTAACTGAACGTTGGCCTGATTCTCATGTGATAATTTGGAACTCTGAATTTATTACTTACTTTTTTGTTTTTGTTTGTCATTAACTCAGAAAGAAATAGAAGTTTTGAAATGTCTTCCTTCGTGGAAACCAAAGGACTGGAGCAGCTGACAAAGTCTCCGGTGGAATTTGTAGAGTATCCTTGATTTGACGAATATCAACTGAGTAGGCACAGCTGAAGATCTGGGTTATTTAATTTTTGCTTCAAATAAGCAAAAGGATGCATGCAATGGCTTCAGCTTGTCTCCTGGGTGTGATAAATAGTTTCAGGTTTCATTGGCACTGCTGGGTAGGGTGGCCTGGCGTACAGAAAAGAGAACTGGCCTTGGAGTAAAACATTTTTAAGAGTATTTTCTCACCATCGAGCTCTTTGTTCTTTGTCAGTTTGCTTGACCTTCCTGAACTTTCTCATCTGTAAAACATAAATAATGATACCAGCTTTATGGCTCTCTTTTTGGGTTAGGGACAACATATGTAAAATATAATACAAATAAGGCATGCGTATATGTAAGCCTAACTTGGTATCTTGCATCTTTGGACATTTAATAAATGGCCAATAAAAAATAGTTGGGCCTGGCCAGTGCTGCTCAGTGGTTGAGCACCGACCCATGAACCAAGAGGCCCCTGGTTCGATAACTGATCAGGGCACAGGCCTACGTTGAAGGTTCAATTTCCAGTAGAGGGTGTGTAGGAGGCAGCCTATCTATGTCTCTCTCATTGATGTTTCTATCTCTCTATCCTTCTCTCTTCCTCTCTCAAATCAATAAAAACATATTTTTTTTAAAAATAGTTGGAATAATGATATGAGAATATAAATATCTATTACTAATAAAGGCTTGTTTGATACTTCTGACAACAAAAACTAATCATTATCCATGACTCAAAATAAAATGAAACAGGTCTTTAAATATTTTCATAAAAGCAATATTAAATGTGTCAAGGAGCTCAATTTTATGAAACAAGTCCTAGAATTTAAAAAAAATCACCTTTAAAACTCATCATTAGGAGATGTAAAGTCCATAAACAGTCGCACTATAAAAAGCATGATCATTAGTGTTCATTATTGCTATCTATGAGATTGACCTTTCATTCTGTCTTACTTCATTTAATCCTTACAATTGCCCTGGGATGTAGGAATCATTCAATCTATTTTATAGATGAGAAAACGAGGCTGAGCAAAGTGAAAGAATTGGACATAGATGATTATACGTAGCCAGCAGTTTTCAGAATTAAGGTGCAAACTTAATGGCCCAACATCCCACCCTGAGATCACAAACAACTGACCTCTCCCTAACTTGGTAATAGGAATAGTCAATCATGTTTTAAACATGTGGTTGTTGTTCAATAACTAAAAGGTTCTCAAGGTGGAAAACTGATGACGGTAGGACCCAAAATACAAAACAAGGTCAAAACCTTCTGTGCTATCTTTACCTTGTTATCAATCATAAAAAGTACCCCAGTCTTGGCAAATAGCATTCCCAGAGAAGGCTGAGAAAATGAGCAGAAAGCATTTCAAAAATAGCCATGCAGTTCATATTATCTGCTTCAGCCAAACACAGTATCGTCCTCTCACATGATTTGATGCCCTTGAGCTCTCGCGTGTGTTTTTAATCAGTAGGCCTATCCTTAATAATCTCTACAAAATCATGTTGACCTTGATTCAGCCATGTTTGCTATCTATTATTTTTCACCTACAAGGAGCTGCAAAGGTGATGCTACATTTATATTATAAACACCTATTCTGTTAGTTCAGCAAGGTTTTCACATACTTTACCTCCTACCCCAGTGGTCGGCAAACTGCAGCTCACGAGCCACATGCAACTCTTTGGCCCCTTCAGTGTGGCTCTTTCACAAAATACCACGTGTGGGTGTGCATGTGCAGTGCGATTGAAATTTCATGGCCCATGCGCAGATCGGTTTTCAGCTCTCAAAAGAAAATTCAATCGTTGTACTGTTGATATTTGGCTCTGATGACTAATGAGTTTGCCGACCATTGTCCTAATCCAATGAGATCATATTTATTTCATTTCCCCAGTGGAGAAAGATGGAAGGTAGCCTCTAAGTTGATATTCTTGGCTAATTATTTTTATAATTGTATTCACTACTTAACATGATGGTCCAGATATAACAAAATGCAGCTTAGCAGGATATATCCGAAAGGAACACGTGTAGATTCATCCAACTATATGCCTCAGCTCTTCTGGAATGCAGGCTGTCAAATGGTTGCCCTTAATTTCCAAACAGTGGGTAAGTAGCACAGTCTCTGCTCATTTCCATTGTTATAAAGCAATATTTCCAAGGACCCAAAACCCATTCTAAAGGAGAAAAAATTGCCAGATTTGACTGAAACTAATAAAAGTAAATTTTAATAAAGGAAATGCCAATGCAAAAAGTAGATTTTGAATCTTGAAAAATTGTCTTCAATAGTTTACAAGTATTTATTTTTTTTCTACTGGTCTTGCATTCTTTACAAATTAAAAATTTTTATACTTTTTAAAGTAATATGTATTTATTATAGAAAAAGTTGGAAAATCCAAAAATGTATATAAAAAAATAAAACCTTCAGGAATGCTACCACTCAGAGATTCAACACTCAACTTTTGGCTTTGTTATATGTAAGGTTTTTTGACTATGTATGTATATGCTTTTTCACTTAATTCCACACATATTTAAATGTTTTACAGGAACATGAATTTTAATATTTATATATTAAGCACATTTCACAATTCACTACAACCTATTTTTTATTACTGAACATTAGAAAATTTATTTTCTACTATAAATAATGCTCTGAGAATAGTCTTGATATAAATTTTCAAGTCTATCTACTAACGTTCTTTTGGCAAAGTTCCGAAAACCAAATTACTATTAAAAGATGTGAAGTTTTGAGAAACTTTGTTCCAAAGTTTTTTGCCAAACTGTTCATCAAAAAATGTTGTCCCAGACTTTTTTTCCATCAGCAATGTATGGCAGGAAGTGTTCTTTGCTCATCTTAAGTGTTATCCTTAAACAATACTAATACAATTTGAGACAAAATATTGTTATTTCATTATTTTTAATTTCATTTTTTTATTATTGAGGTTGAACATTTAAATATGTGGGTTTAAAACTATTTATATTTCTGCTTTATGAATTGCCTATCCAGACCTATTGTCACTTATAACAGTGCTTTTTATATAAAGGGCATGTTGTCTTATTTTGTGAAATAGATGAGATCAGATTGTTTAATGGTGTGTTGTTGTTTTTTGTGTGTTTTTTTATGGAGTCTTGGATTACTTTAATGATTGCAACTTCCCCTGAATCAAATTCATATTTACTTTCATCTCATATTTTAATATTTGTAATTTTACCTTTTCATCTATCCAAAAATTAATTTTATATATAATCTCAGTAAGATATCAATCCTTTTTTATACTGACCTGAAATTACAGCTTAATAGGTATACTCTTTTCTGTTATTGTTAACTTGGATCCATTTTTTTCTATTTATATTCTTCTCCATTAATAAGTTTGTCTGCTTTCTGGAACCAATAACACACTGTTATTATTGTAGTGTTTAGTGAATGATTTAATATCTGGAACTGGAAATTCTCCTTCCTGGCTATTTTCAGTTATTTTCTTGCTATTGCCAGTAGGATTTCTGGTTTCCAATAAATTTAGTTTAATTATTATCATGTTTCTTTCCCTACCCCCCACTGGAAAAAAAAGTTTTTATGAAAATCATGTTACATTTAAATTAGTTTAATTGTTATTATGTATTCCTCTGCCCCACTGAAAAAATATTTATTTTAAATCACATAAAATTTATAAATTCATCTGAAGAATGTATCCTTAATTTTTTTTTATCACTGAAAGAATATTTTTCTTTCCAATTAAAAATTATCATATTAAGTACCTCAGCAGAATCACTTGTCTTTTGAGAGGTTTAGTTTCTTTATATGAAATATCTTTTTTGACATATTTTTAAATTGTTAATATACTGCTGGTCATTAGGACAAGTGTATACTCCTTTAATGTGTGTAATTTTTTAAGACAGGTTGTTTCTGGAAATTAATACTTATATATTTATTTAATAAATAAATTTAGTTTATAAATGATAATATTCCTAAACTCTTATAATTGCCCATTTTGCCAATAGATTCTATTTGGTTTTTCAGATATACAATCACAATAATTTAATCCCATCTACTTTTCCTTCTTTCTTAGAATTTGGACTAATTGTTCTAGAATAATATTAAATAGTAATAGTGTGCATCTTGCTCTACATCATTGTGATACCCTTGAGTAGATGTTGGCTGTGACTTTAAGACAGATATTCTTTCACACATTAAAGGAGTATACACTTGTCCTAATGACCAGCAGTATATTAAGAATTTATGTTAAATGTTATTAAATAACTTGGACTTCTATGTTATGGGATGATATGTTTATTTCTTCTTTTTGTGATAAAATGTGACAAATTATATTAACAGATCTCCTAATATGTAATTATCCTTATGCTCCTGTGATAAATTCTACTTATTTGTTGGGCATTATTTCTGAGAGCATGTGATTTGCTAATATAATTTTTAGGCTTTTGGAGTTAATTTTTTCAAGTGTGGTAAGTCATTTTCTTTTTTTCTTTTTTTTTTTTTTACTTTGTCCAATTTTAATATCACAATTATACTAGCTTAATAAAATAAAATGAGAGATAAAATTTCACTTATTTTCCCTGATCTAAAAGTTCTTTTTTCATGGAGCTATGAAATATGTCTACCTTCACCTTTTTTTATTGTCCAGCTCAGATAATTTGGAATAAATGACAGCTTCTCAGGTTTCTTAGGACTTTAAAATGTGTTGTTGTTTTTAACCCCAGTAATTGCAATTAGTTTAGACAGTCATTTCATACAGAATGTTAGGGAAACTTTGACCATAATCTCTGTCCATTAGAAACAAGTCAACATGCGCCGAAACCGGCTTGGCTCAGTGGTAGAGTGTCTGCCTGCGGACTGAAAGATCCTGGGTTCGATTCGGGTCAAGGGCATGTACCTTGGTTGCGGGCACATCCCCAGTAGGGGGTGTGCAAGAGGCAGCTGATCGATGATTCTCTCTCATTCTAACTTTCTATCCCTCTCTCTTCCTATCTGTAAAAAAATCAATAAAATATTTTTTAAAAAAAGAAACAAGTCAACATGAAATTCAGTGTTGGTGGTAAGTAATCAAAGAAATGCAAATTTTAAAAGGAAACTTTTTCTCATAAACTAAAAAAGATAAATTATAGCAGCCGCTGTTGGTGAGGTGTGGGAGGTCCTTCCTTAGAAACAGGGATTAGAGGTTTAAAGTGGTTTAAGCTTTCTGAAGAGTATTTTAGCAAGATTTACCTAAAATCTTTCCCAAAGTGCATATCTTTTGATCCAGAAATTTCACTCCTAAGAATACCATTAATCATATCCTAAAAGAATTCACCACTATGATGTTCATCAAAACATTATATGTAAAGGTGACAAGTTAGAAGAGACTCATAAATGTATCCTTAAAGAAGCCTGGATGAATACATTTATTCAAATATACATATTCAACAGAATTTTGAAATTAAAGCAGGTAAATATTTACTGAATTTGACATATTGCATGTTTAAAATATACAGGGTATCCCCCAAAATGTATGCACATTATAAAGGCATTATTTAGTGAAATTACTTCATTTTTAAAATGTAATATAATCTACTGCTATCAGCTATGAAAATGTGTATACATTTTATGGGACACTCTATATTTGAAGTAGAAAAACAAAGCATACACCAATCTATTGGTAGTAGCTTATCTCTGGATTTGGAGATTTTAGCTCAAATTTTCTTCTTGTATGTGTTTCCTACATTTTTATAATGAATACATATTTCTTTTTAAAAGGGAAACAAAAGTGGACCATAATACAATCTTACTTTCTTTCTACAAAGATAATAGAGTCACAGTAAAGTTTGTATTTTTGGTATGCAGACCTGGCTATGCAGATAAATATGGGGATGTATGAATACAATGGGAAGAGTGGCTACAGATTAAAGCCAGAGTTTATGAGGAGACCTGACAAGCATTTTGATCCATTCACCGAAGGCATCGTAGATGGGATAGTGGCCAACACTTTGTCTGTTAAGGTATGTACATCTCTCTTATAATAACATTGTGCCCATCAAAAGTCTTGGGCATTACCTATTTTGTGTAAAAATGTAGTTGAGTCATTGAAAGTGTAGTTGCTAGCACAGTCTCCACTTCCTTCAGACATTTTTTTAATGCCTGAATCCGAATTAGAATTTTTGAGACACTACACGCATGAAATAAAGGGATTCAGCTGCACATTTAAAAGGATAAAAATTGGACCCTAAATCAACAAAATAAGATGGTAAGACACATCATCGCCAACCCTTTCTTTTGATGTAAATGTTCCACAGTAAAATTTACACAAAAATTATTGGAGAAATCTTCTATTTTTTTCTCTCCCATTAGTTCTAGAGAAATATCCACACTGAGAAAAATCAGAGAAAAAAAAGTAATCCCAATAAATTGTCAAAGTGGGATAAAAGCGCTGAATTTGCCATGGCATGGATTTAAAAACCTATCAAAATATTCAGGGATTTAAAACACATCAAATTTAAAAATTGCTTTATTAAATATTTATCTGACTCTAACAATGAATTTCAAATGATTACCACAATCTTTGAAATTTATGTTTCAGCAAATATAACTTTTATTTTTTTTAGCTATGAGAATTAATACCATGAATGTAAATCATTTTTATATAGAACTTTTTACATGAATTCTATAAGCTCTAGGTTATTTTAGCTAAATTTCATTTTATATTTTAAAGTCTTATTTTTTTCCTCTTTAACTGGATAGCTGTTAATTAAGAAACATTTTTATTGGATATAAATTCAATTTTCAGATTGATCCAAAACCAAAGGCATATGAAATACTATATTTAAAAAGGCTCTATAACAGTTTCACTAATTTATATCTATCCTAAGCTTAAGGCCATTTATTTTATTTTAAAATTTGTCACTTTACCAGGGATTAAAAATAAAATTTCAGTGAAGTATCTCACAATTATCCTTTGGAATTATTTCACAGCATATATCTGAAGAGCAGAGTTGGTAGTATTAGAGCGTCAAGATTATATTTATTTTTAGGAAACTGTTTTTAGCAAAGGATATGTAACTCCTGTCATTTGATTAAAATAAACTCTCAAGCTTAACTGATAAAATGTTATTATTAGAATCTTTGTCAATTGTTGTTATAGTTGGGTCAAACTAATAATATTTTCTTTGCTGATTCACCTTGTTTTGTACATGTTAGCTTGTTCATTTATTTTTTTCCTGAAAATTCTTCTGTAATAGTGCAAACAACTATAAAACAATGGCATAGAGACAGGAAAGACAGTTGAGGGGAAACAGTTGAGTCTTAGGAAAATGTACTGCTTCCCGAGTCCAGAATGGAGACAACTATTCTGAAGTTGTCAGTATCTTGTGAACGGATGGCCATAGTGCATTAGAGTCCTGCTTTTAACCTGCAGCTAGAACCAAGATGAGCTCACATCTTTCCAGCAGTGCTTGTATTTTGATCTCTGACAGAGACTTCATAGTGCCAGAATGGACTCGTACACTCAAATGGTTTTGTCCGTTGTCTTTCACTGATGGGAATGTGAGAGTAGTGCCACTGAATTAAGGACTTGTACTTTCATCAGTCATTATAAGCTCACAAAAACATTGAGTGGAAATTCAGACAACCTCTTCCTCGTGACTTTCTATTTAACTTGTTTGGAATTTTTTACTACGGCAGCATGTAGCTGACTTTGGCCTCACTTGGCCACTGATGGCCATTCTCAAACTACCATTGTGTTTGATTTCTGACCCGATCATAGTCTTGGAAATTGTATCCCTTTTCACTGACTTGAGCTCAGAAAGGTCTTGGCCAGCAGTGAGCTTTGTCAACCAGGCAACCCAGACTTGCCACGTTTGTCCTGTCAGCACTTGCTTGCCGCTGTGTCTCTCAGGTGTTAAAGCAGAAGACAGTAGTGCTGTGAAAGCCTGGGGAGGGCACAGGGAGGGGAGGAGGGGTCAATGGGAGGAAAAAAGGAGATATCAGTAATATTTCCAACAATATAGATATTTTTTTAAAAAAAGACACCTATATGATACCTGAAGAATCACTTGGGTTTTGAATATTGGGTGAGAAGAAGAGACAGAGGTGGGAGACATTTTGTCACTATGTGATTCAGAAATCTCTTTTAACTCCACAGTATCTGATAATTTTACACCTAGGCAGAAGATACCCACAATTGTGTGGATGGTTAAGCAGGTGAGGTTAGAAGGAATAATGAACTGGGTTTAATGATTTAAAGTCGATATTTATTGTTTTTGCCTTTTCAATCATCATTGTGACTTTTTATTTAAAGTTGTAACAACTTTGAGAATTGGTATACCATGGGATTACAACCACTCTTTCAAGTTAAATTTCATGAACAACAGGAATTTTTTTTAATGCTAGAGTTTCTACTATGTTATGTTTTAAATTTGTACTCTTAAATTAATTGACAATTATGCTAAAATGAGAAGTTTTCTCTTGTGATATTTTTAAGTATTAGGAAAATCTTCATATTCCGTTGCCTCTAAAGACCAATCTTTCATTTAATATATGTATCTTAAGTACATAAGACAAACATTTCTTTAAACTTTTGTTCATTTATTTCCTCCTATATAATTTGTCTTATTAACTCCTCTAACCCCAGCATTTTCAATAAGTCCCCTACTAATTCTTTAGCCAAAAGAGAAACTATATTTGTACTCTTGCTCCTATTTATGCCTCCCTGAAGCATTTTCTTATATCATTGTTATTCATTTATGAAGTTACTTTTTTATTATTTCCCAGATCATTTCGGGTCAGTTTCTTTCTGATAAGAAAGTCGGGACTTATGTGGAAGTGGATATGTTTGGTTTGCCTGTGGACACGAGGAGGAAAGCATTTAAGACCAAGACATCCCAAGGAAATGCTGTAAATCCCGTCTGGGAAGAAGAACCCATTGTGTTCAAAAAGGTTGGTCTTGTGTCCTTGGCATGATATGGTACTGCACTGAGAAAAAAATTTAAAACAATATTTTTGTTGCTTAATTGGGGAACTTACATATTTACTAGTCAAGATCTCTGTGAATCACTTCAGGGTTCAGGGTTTCAGAACTATATTGTAAATCAGTTAATTCTAGTATACTTCATTTGGAAGGCCAGAATTCTACATAATAAAAGCCTAATATGCAAATAGGCCAAATGGCAGAAAGACTGGCTGTGATGACACACACTGTCCACCAGCGGGTAGATGCTCAATGTAAGCTTCCCCCAGTCCTCAGGCCCCAGGACAGCCAAGGTGGGTGCCAGCAGGTCTTCCCACCCCCATCACCCAGTCAGTTGCCTAGCAGAGGGAGACGACTGGCAGTGGCAGTGGGGCAATCAGGGGCTGGGACTGGCTGACGAGCTGGCTGTCACTGCCCCCAATTGCCCTGCTGGTCACCCCACAGATCAACCCTGATTGCTGACCATGTCTAGGGACCCTACCCATGCACAAATTTCATGCACTGGGCCTCTAATAACATATAAATCTAATCATATGCTCTTATAATACAGTGATAGATTACATGCTTTTATTATGACTTAAATGAAGTAGAGGGGGGAAATAAGGAATAATATGTTAGTTGAGAGAAAGGCAGGTCATACTTCTTCATACAAGAATATTAATTAATTTTCCTAGACTCTCTAGCCTCTGCAGCTGGTCATTCGATTTTGTCAGGATTCTCTCTGATAGAGTTAAAACTTTTACATTCACCTGGGCCTTCTCTCTGTCTTCACCAAAAAGCAAATCTCCATACACATTTATCACACAAAGAAAGACAATAAATCCAATAGAAAGTAGTGTAGGCTTTCTTACCATACCCTTTGTTTTTATCTGGCCAAAATATCCACAAAGGTAGTCTTCTGCAAAGAGAATGTCTATATTAAAGGACTCTATGCCCCATCATCCTTATATTAATTAGATCTAGTAATACTGTCTACTTCATAGAGTTATCATAAATATCCCCTACCACACTGAAAGCATTTAGAGAATTTCAGCACCTTTAAAATAGTCAATAGACATTAGTTGGCTCTTGCTGGCAAAAATATATTTTTTTTTAAGGATGCTATTGGTCTAATGCTCTTGACATGGAATATAACTGTGTACTTTGCATGTATCACATTGAGGGTGAAAATGAGCAAATTTTTCTGGTGCCTCATTTGGGAATTTACAAATTTATAAAGCAATCTCATTTTGAAAACTCTTCTGAAAGCTATTTTTTGGTTTTGTTTGCTTTGAAAATATAGTAGTAAATGCTCAAATGATGAAAAGACCATTAAATCTTTGGATTTAAACATAGAACTTCTGTCATTTCCACATTGAGAATGTTCAGGTCAAAAGCAAATGGCCTGTGTGTTAAACACATTCCTAGTTAGGACACAATGATAAAACATAAAGTGGTATTTCTGGTAACCCTTTTGAAAATCTAAATTTTAGAGCAACAACCTAACTTTTTATCAGCTTGCTAAGTAGAAACTTCTAGTTGGATCTGGCAAAGCAGGACCCATATGAATAATATCTTCCTAATTCTTTTTGGTTTTCTGGAGTTCCTTCTTGTAACCACATGTGTCCTTAATGTCTTCGAAGGTGGTTCTTCCTTCACTCGCCTGTCTGAGGATAGCAGCTTATGAAGAAGGAGGAAAATTTATTGGTCACCGGATCTTGCCAGTACAAGCAATTCGGCCAGGTATGGATGGTGTGGTGAGAAGCTTTATACCAAAGTTGTAAAGAAAATCATCCCTGTCGTCCGTGATTATTAAAGAATGATTTAGGAAGCTATTTGCAGCTTTGGTATTTTGTTCTACAACAAGGGCTCTAGGACTGTTTCAGTCTGGCAGCTCCCTGTGTTTGTGATGTGCTATGATGTATGAATCAACTCTTGCCACAATAATTGTGCATAACAAACTACCTGAAAACTTAATGGCTTGTAAATATTTATCTTCCTACGCACCGGTCTGTGGTTTGGCTGCGTTTGCTGGGCTCAGCCATGTAGCTGTACTCTGGGCTATGGGCTGTGTTAGGACTATTCCCCATCAGAGGCTCAGGCTGAAGGGGCAGTGCACCCATAGAGGGACTTCTCAGGGTACTCACTGGAATGCATAAAGGCAAGCCAGACTATACAAGTGCATTGTAAGCCTCTGCTTGCACCACTTTTTTTTTTTTTTTTTTTTTTTTATCCCTGAGTCCCATTGTCCAAAGCAGAGCATATGGCAAAACCCTAAGTGAAGGAATCATGGATAAGGGACAAAGTTGGGATAGTAATTTAATCTATGACAAATGCCACTTAATTCTCTTCTGTAGGGAAAAAAATGTGGTTGGAAAGAGAAAAAATTAGAATCAACATTGTTTTTCTATTTGATGAGGAGAATAATTCTTTCCCACTTAAAATCATGCAATTAAAATGTTTATCATCCAAAGTCCCCTGAAATAAACATTTCTATAGCATAGCATAGATGTTCCTGTGTGCTAACAAGCGTTGTGAAGAAAATATGTGATACACAGTATTATTGTTGCCCTCCAGGCTACCACTACATCAGTCTGAGGAATGAGAGGAACCAGCCTCTGGTGCTGCCAGCTGTCTTTGTCTACATAGAGGTGAAAGACTACGTTCCAGACACCTATGCAGGTAAACGGCCTAATCAAACGGCTCATCCATAGTTTTGTGGAAACAAAGATAGGAGATCTTGGCCTCAGAGTCACCTCTATTTTATATACATGTCTAGAAAGTAAATTGCTCAAGCCTTTATGAACAAGTGTTAATTTATGAACAAGTTCCAATAAACTATTGAGTCTATTTATCCACTGGTAGTAGTACTCTCATGAGCCCAACACTTTCTAACCCATGCTGCCTGGTACTAGAGCAGTCTGTACAGATCTGGGTAATTATTTTTACCTTGAGCCAGTTTTGGAACCCCGATTCTTTTCATGTGTGGAATCCTAAATTTAGTGAAATTAACTTATAATAATGTCAACAAGGGATCATAAATTTAAATACAGTGCTAAGTGACCTGGGTGTAATATACTAAGTGACAGTGAAAACTGGCATTCCCTACCTGGTTTTTCTCGGTGGTTAGAGCATTGGCCCACAGATTGAAGAGTTGGGTTTCCATTCCTGTCAAGGGCTCATACCTCCATTGCAGGCTGGATCCCCACCCTGGTTGGGGTGCATGCAGGAGGCAACGGATTGATATTTCTCTCTCACATTGATGTTTCTCTCTGTGTGTCTCTCCCCCTACCTTCCACTGTCTCTAAAAATCAATGGAGGAAAAATATTGTCAGTTGAGGATTAATTAAAAAAAAAAAATAAGAAGACTATGGCAAACTTGGAGCATGTGACCCACCCAAAGATGGCAGCCATATTCACTCCAGCTACACCCATATTGCCAAATCTTTTCGTTGTTTCAACCATCTGGAAAACAGGCTTTTTATGTGAGATGTCTCCACTTATGAAACATCATTTGGTCAAACTCAGGTCCCTAGAATGGATGGAACCCTTGAAAATAAACTGAATAATATGGAGCATTGAGACATCTTGATTTGGAGCCTGTCTCAGAGCTGCCCTCCATTGAATACTCTCTTTCTGGAATTTCAGCAAAGGGCCTTAATTCTTGTTCATTTTTTAAATTTTGGATGAATGAGTGGGTAGTTATATTGGTAGATGGAAGAATGGAAAATGAATGACGAATTGATAGGTGGATGTGTGAGTAGATGGATATATAGATGCATGGATGGATAGTTAGATGCATGGATAGATGGTGGATAATCAATACTTCCAGGATCTTGCATCTAAAACATCTCTTCCCTATTTAGATGTGATTGAAGCTTTGTCAAATCCAATTCGATATGTGAATCTGATGGAGCAGAGAGCTAAGCAACTGGCTGCTTTGACACTAGAAGATGAAGAAGACTTAAAGAAAGAGGTGAGAGGGTGTGCAAATTTTCTGCATGACATTAAGGGTGATTTCCACACCTCTTTGCTTGCTTTACCTATGTAACACCACACTTCAGGAGAAGAAATTAGCACACTGGAAAAACATCTTGATGGAGTTCATCATTATCATCTCACAAAACAACCAGATGATTAACTGAATTTTTCCTATTTCATTCTCTTCTGGTATCCTATGGCCACCACCAGTGTCTTATTTTGTGACCCATGAAACAGTACACATCTTGCTGCTTCATATGAAAATCTCTAGATGATTTCATGTTAATTAAAGATGATTAAGGCACTTATAAAAGAAAGTGATTATCAAGTCATTTAGTATTTCCTTTTGTCTTCAATTTAAAGTACAGGATTTTCAAAGTGCTCTTGTGATTTATTACAATATATAAAGTACTTAAAACAATACCTAGTGTGCAGTATGGGCCATAAGGTGTTTGCTATTATTATTACATTGTATATTTATGTGTTAAAATATGTATTCCTAAAAATATATTATTCTAAGTTATATATCACCATGTAAAGAATAATTAATGGTTTAGAAATATTAGAAGTAAAGTTTAAAAATATCAAGCTGTTATGGAGACTGGAGATCCTTTGGTTTTTAAAAAAGTGAAATATTATTTAATGATTATTGGAAATAGCCCCAATGTTAAAGATAGTGATAAAAATAGCTATTTTTATACTTTATTTGAATATTCGGATAATAAATCCAGGGGGGAAAAGATAAGAAAAATGAATAACTATGTGTGTATGGGGAAACCTTGAAAGCTTTAAATACCTATAACTAATACCAAATCTATTTAAGTTAATATTATCTATTAAGTAGCCCTTTTCTTATTCTAAAGGAAGTGTAGGTTTATCATAGAAAAAAATAAAAAGAAAAAGAAGAAAAGAAAGTCTTACTTCAAACACCCAAGGCACCCAGCGGTAACACTATACATATGGGATCCACATATAGCTCGTTTTTATGTAAAAGTACACTCCTTCATAAAATGGAATAGTATTCACAATCCATGTTTTATTTTCATTTAATGCAAATATTTTCGATGTTAGCAAATATTCTCCTATGGTATGACTTTAAGTAACTTCATGGTCTTCTATCATGTAACTATACCATAGTTTATACTTCCATTCCCCTATTATTGGATATTTGGAATGCTTCACTATTTTAAACAGATCTTCCATGACTGTCATGTAAATTTTTTTTAGCACATTTATGATTATCTCCTTGGTTTTGTATAGAATTTTAGAAATTTTAAATCTAAAATGTTGAGTTAATTGAACATGAGAAAAAATGAAATGAAAGGAAAATATTTCACATTAAGAGTAAGATTTTCCAGTCTTTCATTCACATCACCCTCTGGGATGAAATTTCAGGTTAAACTGGGAAGTTTCATAAATAATGCTTCATGTGATATGCAATAAATGGGGTTGTGTGTAAACTTTATACTGTCAGAAAATTGTGTCTAATGGTAGATATGAATATACTTCCAAAGTTGCTTGTGTCTCTGACATCTAGGCTTACCATTTGCAGAAGGAAACCTAGAAACATACAAACAAAAAACAAACAAACAAACAAACAAACAAACAAAAAACACCTGAGGCCCCTGCTTGAATTTGAGGGATTGGTGTAAGCCCGTTGAAGGTGTTTTTGCAAGTTCCAAGCAGGTGCTGTTGGTGCCCTGCCCACAGCTCCTTTGCAGGGCTGCTGCAGCTGTGGGCGGCGAACTCCGCCCAGCTCCAGGCTTCTCCAGAGGACTGGCCTGGGCTGATAGGAGCCGCCTTCTCTGAAGATGCCTGGAAAGTTATTCTTGGAGTAGGGTGATCCCTGCCCAGAGACTGAAAGATCCTGGAGAATAACTCAGGTCCCTTGATATGGAATGGGCAATTTTTGGGTTGCAATCCGCACTCCCAAACTGCCCTGCCTCCTTTCTTGGATCAGGCTAAGGCAGAGAACACATTTTAACTTACCTTCTCTCCCTGTTCTACCCTGCCTTTCTCACTTCCTGACAGTTTTCTCCCAAGAGCATACTCTCAATCAATCATGTACTCAAGAACCCCTGTGTGCAATTCTGCCTATAGAGAACCCAGCAATGCTAAATAGCTTCTATTTATCATTAAATTAAAAATGAAAGCCCTTTCTGAATGTTTTGCTTGGGACTAGAATTTCAATGTTTGCCAATAGTTACATCTTTAATCTGGGTGTTTCTTCAGAGAGGAGAGTGTGTTATTTTTTCTTTCCAATGGCCTTTGAAAAGATTAAGTAAGACTACAGAATTCCTTGCTTTGCTCATCTGTGCACCAACGTGAAGTTAAAAGCTCTGCATAGAAATCCACCAGAAATTCTGGAACTTGTCTCTCCTACCTTCCTGTGCTTACTACCATATTTAATAAAATTTAACTCAAGGCAAATACAATTTATATAGCTACAAATAAATTACTATTCATAGCATCCTTCTCTGACTAGAAAACAGAAGTCTCTTTACTCAGCTATATTTTATTTTCTAAGAAAGAGAAGATGGGATAAAGCATTTTCAAGTACAATTACATGCTTTGTCACTATTTAGAAACAAGACTTTTTGTATCATCAACTTCTACTTATTTGTTAGCCAGGTTCTCCAAGGAGTAAACTCTCTCCTGAGGAGAACTTTTTAAGATACCAGCTTCTCCATCATAGATAGTATAGCATTTGAGGTAAAGGTCTCAGAATGGGACATTTTGCTGATCTGAGCAACCGTTTCTCTAATGTTTGCAAGCAAATGTCATTAAGGAATGGAGATCTGGGGCCCTTAGAATTACAGGGGTCCTTTCAGAGCCTTCTCTCTGTAAGACATCGCCTGCCAGAAAGCTCGTGGGAGAGAATGCAACAGCCATGGACATAAAAATGCAGTAGACGTTTAAGTCAACTTTAGTTTTGCTTCTCCTCTAAAAAATGGTGATCACAAAGAATTTTCAATAAATGTAAAGTGTTGGGTAAACTTAGAGAAAACTTGGACCTTTTCAGTTTTAGAACTAATTTAAAGACATTGAATCAGATAGATTCCATATGGTTTAACAGGAAAAAAAATACAAATTTCACCTTTGAACTGTCTAAACACATACTTGCCTTCATTTTTGAAACTCAAGAAGAAAGTTATTTGCCCTTCCCATGGAACAGGAGGGAAGAAAAGTCATTTCCCACCTCTGAGCACCAGTGTGCCCTTCACCTCGTCTTGCAGTGATGAGCGGTCCTTTGAATGAGGCCACTGAACATAAGTAGCTGTGGTTTTCTGGGAAGAAAACGTTATCTAGGACATGGCAGACACTGGAGACACTATTTTAGCAACAAAGACGTTTTTAGTAGAATCCTTTTAACTTGTACCTATAAAGGTCATATCTATTTGAAAATGAAAGACTTCATTGCACTGCAAAATATTCCCACATTTGTGATAGTCTAATAAGTTATCTTCATAGTGTAACTTGCAAACCAAATCACTAGAAAAATTGAAAATGTCTCCATGCTTTGGGACAATAAATACTTATTTCATATCATGTGGGGGAAAAATGTCTATAATAATAAAAGGGCAATATGCTAATTAGACCGGATGTCTTCCAGATGTCATTCTGGATGTCCTTCCTGATGAAACCAGGGCCAAAGGCAAGCCAGCTGTGTCCTGGTGCTTGTAGGTGGCCAGAGGGAAGCCAACCTGAATTTTGGGTCCCTGCAAGTGGCCAGAGGAGCCAGGGAAGGAAGGCCAAGTCTTGCATGAATTTTCTTGCATTGGGCCTCTGCTATATATATAAGTTCAACATATGTATGTTGGAAGTTAAGGAATAATAGAGATTATAGTTGCTGAATTTATTTTAAAGTTGTTATCAAGGTAGTGGGTTAGTAACGTTGTAGAAAGTTGCCTAATCTGAATAACAAAGGCTTTATAATATGTTTAGCTATTTCTCTAAATAAAAAATCATTTAAAAATAATAAACAAAAGACACAGAAGGTCCAGTAATTTTGCAGATACTGTTAAAATTTTTGCTAGCATGTTTTCTAGGTACATTTGCTTTCTACCAAGGTTTTTTAAAAATGTTTCACAGCCCTAATACTTTAATGTGATTGTAGAGATGACTTATGAGACATCAGTAACAATGTTAAAATTTATTTTTTAAATATGCCTGTAAAGAGACAAAAGTCACTATCGAGTATTTCTATTACAAAATATTATTTGATAATAATTTCCAAATGCAATATTTGCTAAAACATGTCAAAATGTGGAGGGGAAAAAAGTAAATATTTACTGAGTGCTTACTATGTTCCTGGTACTGTTCTAAGCCCTTTAATGTACAACATATTACTCTTCCCATTTAACAGATGGGAAAAGTGAGGCACTGAGAGCTTAATGCCATCACCCGGTGCCACACAGCTAGTAAAGAGCAGAGTCGGGATTGAAATCTAAGCAATCTAGCTCCAGAACCCATGTTCCACACCACCACTTCTCGAAGGTCAGTGACAAAATGCTGATCCTGAGTCACTGGTCTGGAGTGGGGCATGGGGCTCAAAAACTCTAACAGGCCCCATGTGATAGGAGAATGCTGTTCCAGAGCATTCCGAGTAGCAGAGGTCTGTCCTGCACCCCATTGCACCATGCACCTCAGTAACAAAACCAGCTTTCTAGTAAGGACGAGTCCTTCATTCGCTTCCTGTCCTCAGCAGCAGGTTACCTGGATGACTGAGCACAGACTGAGCACCTTCAATAGTAATATCCTTTGAACTGAACTTTTTGTTGAATCAAATGTCAAGATTTCCCCCTTTCAGTCACTGGATAGTATAAAAACTTGCTTTTCAGTAAGTTAGGTTTCTGAGTACTGATTCTATTTGATCAGAATAGGAACTGGCTGTCGGCCAAAAGACACATACATATCTCCCAACTCTAAACTTCTGAGTTACAAAGGCTACATTCAGTGACCACGCAACTATTTCTACCCTGAAGGCGCGTTATGGTCTAAGACAGAATACAGGCTTTCCTCAGAGGTATGTTGATTTGGTTCCAGACCACCACAAAATGAGCATCACAATATATAGCAGGTCATCATTTTCATTTTATTTTATTTTTTTTGCTGGCAAAAGATCTTGCCTTCAGTTTGTAGAAAACACACTTGTGAAGCACAGTAAAGTGAAGTGTAAAAACTGAGGTGTGCTTGTACCTGATATCCCAACCTTCCTCAGCCCTCAGGGCCAACATTTCTGTTCTTGGGAGTCCCCTCTGTGGTCGGTGTGTATGATATCAGTGCAGGCATGTAAGCAATCTCTACTTGTTTGTGCTCAAAAGGGAGAGTTGTTTGATAATACAAACATTTCGTTTATTCTAAGAGGCCTGCTTTTTAAAATATACATATATTTTATTGATTTTTTTTTTTACAGAGAGGAAGAGAGAGGGATAGAGAGTTAGAAACATTGATGAGAGAGAAACACCAATCAGCTGCCTCTTGCACACCCCCAGGATGGGGTACATGCCCTTTACTGGAATCAAACCTGGGATCTTTCAGTCCGCAGGCGGACACTCTATCCACTGACCCAAACCGGTTTCGGTGAGACCTGCTTTTTAAGTTGTCAAATTTAAAAAGTTGTTCTTATCAGTGAGCTGAAATTTATCTAAAATAGTTTGTTTCCTAATTCAGTGTATGGCCCCTTGGGGATACCTTCGACAGAATTTGATTATATGAAAAGAATAGGTCCTAAGCTCTGGTGTAAATTTCGCCAGTTAAACAGCCAAAATCCAAGGTGATTACCTCATAAGGGCACAGTAATGAACTCAGGAAGGCCTTGGTGGCCATTTGATTTTCCCAGCACATAAGCTGAGTGCTCGTCCATAGTTTAAGAACTTGGTGATAAAAATAAATAAGAGGTTTATTGGTCATTTTTTATTTGCCTTAAATAAAAATCTTCCTCCTCAAATAATAATATAGCTAAATACTAATTTATAGAAACAATAGCTTCTCACAGCCCCTGAACTTGAAAGCATCCAATAAAGTAGGAAGAGAGAATTTGCCCTTTGGGAGCTGACCTGGAGGTAGCACCACTGTCCCTTTTATTTCTGTGTGGCTTTGGAGATCACAAGGCCCTTTCATTGGATGCCCTGGATAAATCTGGACTCCAATCAGGACAAATGTACAAAGTCTCTGTTTTTAAAATGTCAGTTGACTTTCAAGAGTGACTTCCGGTTCCTCTGTCTAAAACAGCAATGGTGCAGACACTTGAATGTTGTCATCCATGCCATGCCCAGTGACATAGAGAATATAAAAGTGTGACTCTCAAGGGCAAAGTTTTCCACTCTTCTTTAGACCAGGGCTTCTCAAATTTTAAACTGGGGATCTTATTACACTGCAGATGCAGATATACTAGGTCTGGAGCAATGCACACGATTCTGCAGTTCCAACAAGCTTCCAGGTGATGGCGATGCTGCTGGTCAGGGAAGCATATTTTGAGCAGCAAGGTTTCCAGACTTTATCATGTAGCAGAATCACCTGGATAACTTCTGAAAGCCCAGACTGCTGGGCCCCACCTTCAGTTTCCTATTTAGTAGGTCTGGGGTAGACCGAAGAATTGCATCTCTAGCAAGTATTTGCCAAATGACTTGGCTTACTTACTATGAAACATGCATTCTCATGAGATGAATATAAAAGATGGTGTTGGTCTCTGTTCTCTTTGAATGAATCTATAACTTCTGCCTAACTGCCAAGAGCTTATTTCTGCTGATTTCTTTGGAGACCATATCAGTGTTTCTAACAAATTAAAGTTGGCTGGAACAGAAACATATATAAGACATATGAAATATTCAGCAGAGCTCTGGCCTTTAATCTTTAATCTCCTCCTAAATAACTGTAATTACAAGTAAAGCATAATTCATTGATTCATTAATTTAAAGAAAATTTTTTCTTATTTTAACATAACATTTAGATGGTTTTTAGTTACAGGATTTTGCCATTAGCAATATATCTATTGATTATATTATATGTGAGCAGGAAATGTGGATTTATTAATTCACTTATTTATTCAATACAATTTTTTAATACAACTGTCAGTCACCATTCTGGGCACAATTAACCTATATTAGAAGAAAAATAGGATGTTTCATCGACCTTACAGTCTGGAGGGAGATACTGACATTAATACAAATTTGCACATATTTATATAAACTTACAGCTTTCATTAATGTTTCAACAAAGTGAGACCATATGAATGCTGATGATTTCTTTATGTTATGACATGGCTCATGCTGTGCAAAGACTCAGTTGACTCCATGTTCCAATTGGCTCCAGTTACTACCGGAGGAACATGCTAGGTATTAATTGCAATAAAAAGCCAGAATCATTTTACTTGGTAAATCAAGAAGCTTCAAATGCTGAAGTCAAGAGATGGACTTATTCATCTCCTTAAAGCTGTCTTTTGCTTCTAACTCTTCCTGGTAGACTTCAAAATATAGAAGTTGTGCTATATTTTATTAGGAAAATGTTCAAACATACACAAACATGGAAAGAATTGTATGCTGAACATCAAATAGCAATTACCTGGATGCTATACTTAAAATTTCAATGCATTTGTTTATCACATACTGGTATATATTCATCTATCCATCCCTCTATCCACTCATTATTTCATGGGTTCTTGCTTTGTTGTTGATCCTCACCCAAGGATATTTTTTTTCATTGATTTTTAGAGAGAGTGGAAGGGAGGGGGAGAGACAGAGAAACATCCATGTAAAAGAGCTTTGTTGATTGGTTATTTCTCACACATGCCCTGACCTGGGCCTGGGATTGAGTCTGCAACCTAGGTATGGCCCTTAACAAAAATCAAACCTGAGACCCTTCAGTCCACAGGCCCACACTCTATCCACTAAGCCAAACTGGCTAGGGCTTATATTGATGCATTTCGAAGAAGGTTGCAAATACTGGAATATTTCATCCCTGAACACTTCAGAATGAATGCATCAGGAAATTGTTTTTAGAAATGATCCAGATCTTTTAGAAATTTGGGGCAGGTTCAGCTAGTAGAAATTGAAGGTGCAAATTATGTATTGTTTGAAGAAGCTCTTTCTTGAGGGAAAGATAAAGCTGCACTCACTTTTCACACTCATTTCAAGTAGACTAGATTTCTGCATGATGAAACCCAGAAAAACAGTTGGGCTTGACCCTTACCCATCTGATGTCCAAATCAAGATGCTGTTATCCTAACCAGTTTTTAGATGACTTTGTCAAGGACAGAATGATCCAACACCTCCAACAACTCAGTCACACATTTGGTGTTTGCAAGACCCTTTACTTACTATACTAACCACTCAAGTTCCGCACATTCTACAGAGAGGAAGGAAGAGTTAGAAACATCGATGAGAGAGAGTCATCAATCAGCTGCCTCTTGCACACCCCCTACTGGGGATATGCCCGCAACCAAGGTACATGCCCTTGACCAGAATCATACCTGGGACCTTTTAGTCAGCAGACAGATGCACTACCACTGAGCCAAACCGGTTTCGGCAAGTTCCGCACATTCTAGTGTGTTCTATAGTACTGGAAAATTTTGTTTCGATTTTATTGAATTTATTGGGGTAAAATTGGTTAACAAATAATACAGGTTCTAGGTACACAGTTCTATAATAGATAATATTTTATTGTATTGTGTGCCTATTTTTTTATTGTTTGATTATCCCATTCAATTTTCAAAGGGCAAGATTTAGATTTATTCAATTAGCATATGAAATAGCATCTCCTCTGTAAAACTTGGGAAAATGGTATTTCCAGTTATCCCTTTACTGGTATACTTACATTTTAAAGTCACTTCTGTTCAATTTTTAAATAGGAAGAATATAAATATTACTTTAAATAAAAATTTGATTTAATAAAAGTCTATTACTTGTTGTGAAGAAAAAATGATGTAATGCTTTCAGTTGGCCACTAGATGGCAGGAGTTTACTTCTGCTGTAGTTAATTTTGCACATTTTTTCTCTACTTATCTAAGCCAAATTCAGTGCAACTGAAATACTAGCTTCTGAACTTTCTTTCCTTGAAATATGTTTATTTGGATCATATGAGTCTCTCCATTAATTTGAAAAAGTTGACATTTCTAGTTCTTTGGTTTCTATCATAATTTCCAGTGTGATGTGCTTATTTGCTAAAAAGGATTTACTAATAAGAAAGGATATGATTCTGTGCTTATTTTACTCAACTCATAAAAAAGAATATTTGGAAAAATGCTATGGAGAAATAAAGTCACAAGGACTGACTTCCACTGAATCCTTGAAGTGGGACAAGGAGGGGGTTTTTTTGTTGTTGTTTTTAATTTCAGCTTTCATACAAAGCAATCAAACAGTTTAGGAAGCTAATAACAAAACAGTAAGAAATATGGGAAATGAAAGGATGTTTACCATTTTAGGATCCTGGGGAAACACCGTCAGAAGCTCCGAGTGAAGCCGGGACAACTCCAGCAGAAAATGGAGTAAATCACACTACATCCCTGGTACCCAAACTTCCCTCCCAGGCCCTTCACAGCCAACCTGCTCCAGGTAAAACCTTAGAAAAGAGAGCTGTAAAACATGGTAAAGATCCTCTTGTTCGTTTGTGGCTCAAAGGAGGTCGCGTGATTCAGTTACGTACAGTATCATGTGAACAGGGGTGCATGGGCTTAGAAGGGCTCCAGAAATGTGTGATAAAAGTATGAATGAAAGAATGAGTGAACGAATGAAGTAATGAGTGAGTGAATGAATGAATGAATGAATGAGTGAATTCCAAGAAAAACATCTAAGTGCTCATCTGGCTCTGCTGATGACTTATAAAGTCACAACAAAATATCACCCAGGTTTCTGGGGTCTTTAGTCATGAATTATGTCTGCTGGCAGTCTAAAAAGATTTAGACTTGAGGGCTAAAGGTTGTTTTACAGGAAGAATAAAATTTTTAAAGTTAAAAGTGGCTGTTTTACAAACTTCTTGTAAGCAGTTATGCTTCAGAAGCTCATTCTTAGCTCTTCCTTACTAAGTCAAGGCTCCAACTTTTCAATAACCTTGAGCGCTCCTCAAGTACGCAGAGCTCTGCTATACTCTTCATGGGGATTATCTCATTGAACTCTTAGATGCTGCCTAGGAGGGTAGATTCTATGATTGCCCATTGTCCGGGTGACGAAACTGCAGTTCTGGGCTGACAAGGTGCTTCTGGAAGGTCATATAGCCAGTGAAAGGTGATGGCCAGACTGGCACAGTTTCCTATTATCTTAAAATACTTACTTTCAACTTCTGTGCTCCCACCAAAGCTACACTCATGTCTCACTTTCACGAAAATCTTTTGATTTCTATGCAACAAATTTTGACATGTAGTCTAAGACAGCTGTAGGCAATTACCACGGTATGCATGTTTTATTTCCCCAGTAGATCGGAGGGTTCCCAGGTTAGGCTACAGTTAGATGTTTCCTTTGCAAAGAGCTGGGGAATAGCATGTACTCAATAACTTTTTTATTGAATTGTTCAATAAAGTAAGTAAAGGGAGAGGGATTTTCTCCCATGAAAGTATGGACTCATGTCTCCTCCCTTCTTTTTCATGCCAGTGCATGCCACCAGTAAACCCAGACTCTTTATTTGGGAGGGTAGGAGTAGTTCTCATGGGGGAGGATGAGATGTTGAAAAGAACAAACCATATTAAATGTGTTTGAGATCTGAGTGGGGCCTGTGCTTTCAAGACTGTTGTTGAGATCCGTAACAGTGAGGAGACTTGATCAGGAACAAGAAGTGATATTTCAAACTCTTGAGCGCTTCTGGAATATAAATAAGTCATTTAAATAGGTGAGTGAGATAGCCTTGCGCTTTGCTTTTGACAGTAGAAGAGCATTTAGACTCTGTGTGTGGGAGGGGGGATTGACTTGATGTTTTGAAAAAAAATTTGACATACAGAATAATTTTTAAAATGGAACAGACAACATTACAAAAATGATTTCCACTTCTCTGATGTTAACATGTCAGCATCATAGTCTGACTCTCAGGCCAGGAAATCAACCTTGGCACAACACCCTGAACTGAACCACAGACCTTGTTTGAACTTCACCGCTTTCCGCTAATGTCCTTATATTATTATTCCAGGTTCCAACTCAGGATTCCACACTGCATTTAATTGTCATGTCTCCTTATTTTCCTTCAACCTATGATGGTCCCTCATTCTTGGCCTGTCTTTCATGAACTTGACACTGTTGAAGAGTAGTGGTCGGATATTTTGTAGAATGTCCCTCAGTTTGGACCAGCCTGATGTTCTCTCATGATGAGGTTGAAGTGCTACATTTTTGGCCTTAGTCAGTGCAGCATAGCAGGGGAAGCTGGTATTGGTGTGTCTCCTCACTGGTGGTGTTGGAGAACTTGGTTAAGGTTTCTCCACTGAAAGGTATGGTTTTTTCCTTCATACTTAATAGCTGTATTGGGGGAGATCCTTTTAGATGATGCAACTATCCTGTTTCTCCTTAAATCATTGCCCAGTGATTTTTGCATCCACCAATAGATCTTGTCTGCAACAATGATCAGTGCCAACTTGTCAGCATTTGATTTTTAAAAGACCGCTCGCCATTCCTGATTCTACCAAAAGGTGGCGGTGGCATTGCCTAAATTGAATTTGTTGCTGATTTTTATTCCAAGTGGAGGGACATACTTTTTCTCTATAAATGGAAGATACAGATTCACATTTAATTATGTTTGCCTCAAAGTAACAAAAGGAGGACATTTCTTAGAAGTTTTTGGAATAATTTTCTCCCAAAATTTGTATTTCTCCACAAAGAGATTTAGACTCAAGGGCCAATTGTGGTCTTACAAGAAGAATAAAATGTAAAAAGTTAAAAGTGCCTATTTGTTTTATCTTTTTATTCCAGGTTCTTTAAAGGCACCTGCCAAAACAGAAGATCTTATTCACAGTGTTCTAACAGGTAAATACCACCCATTCCCTGAATGAATTAGGCAGCTAAATATTATAGAGTGTAAGTATTTAGTGGAAAGAAGGTTTCTCTCTATCTCTGAAGATTAACATTATTCATATTTCTTCTCTAAAAATACTTACACAGTCCTAGTTGAGACCACACTACCCATCATGATCACAGAAAAGTGACCATCGTTGGCAGATAGGATCCTATTGATATAAAATATAAAATAGTTTCATAAGATACCCATTTTAGAATCCAAAAATAGTTTCATCCTGTAAATGTGTTCCAGCTAATAGGAAGGCATATCTTCCCATAGTGATAACAGTAAGCCATCATTTAGAAATACAGAATATGGCCCATTGGTGATCACAGACTACTCAGTGTTTGAGGACTGTAATTCAATTGGGAAATATTTTATATTTGGTAAGTTTCATAAACTAGTGGGACTGGAATTGGTACAAGCTTTCTTTAATACAGTTAGCCATACTTAATAAAGTCTGAAAAATGTTTGATACTCGGCCTAATATACAACAGGAATGCTCACCAAAAGCAGCACTATTGGGAAGAGACGAGCACTGCATATAGCTCAATGTCCGTAAACAGTCGGTGGATCCATACATTGTGGTATACTCACAGACTGAACTGAGTGGGATACAACTCTCGGAATAAATAAACTACAGTCACACAGAACATGCACAAAATTCACAAGAATTATTATGTTGAAGAGGCCAAACACGGATGAGCACATTCTTTATGATTCCATCTACGTAAAGTTCAAAAACAAGCAAAACTAACTCATGCTGTTGGGAATACAGATTGGATTGTATTTGATGGGGAGCAAGAACCAAAAAGAGGGCCTCTGGCATCTGATGATAGTTTTATGTTGTTCTGAGTAATGGTTGTTGAAGCATACTCACTTTGTGAAAATGTATATTTTATGATTTGTATGTATTTTAGGCATGTATTTATGTTTCACCAAAATAACATATAAAATATTCATAGAAAAAAATACTTGAATAATGTTTTTTAGAAATATATTTGATTTCAGAGATGAAGGGAGAGGGAGAGAGAGATATAGGAACATCAATAATGAGAGAGAATCATTGATCGGCTGCCTCTTCCATGCCCCCAGAGGGGATAGAGCGAGCAACCAGGACATGTGCCCTGACTGGAAATGAAACAAAGAACTCCTGGTTCATGGTTGATGCTGAACCACTGACCCATGCCAGTTAAGCAACAATGTATTTTTAAAAATGTGTCTTAAAGATTTAGTTCCCTGGGTAACAATAAAAAGTTGACACATACAACAAGAGACAAAAGTGTAAATAGAGCATGATTCCAGTGTTATTTAAAAATAAATGCGTAGCAGAAACCGGTTTGGCTCAGTGGATAGAGCATTGGCCTGGGGACTGAAAGGTCCCAGGTTCGATTCCAGGCAAGGGCATGTACCTTGGTTGCGGGCACATCCTCAGTAGGGGGTGTGCAAGATGCAGCTGATCGATGATTCTCTCTCATCAATGTTTCTAACTGTCTATCCTTCTCTCTTCCTCTGTGAAAAACCAATAAAATATATTTAAAAATAAATAAATAAATAAATAAATAAATAAATAAATAAATAAATAAATAAATATAAATAAATAAATGCATAGAAGATAGGCCAAAGGTCTGTATAATAAACTAACAGTGATTATCTCTGGGTAGGTTGTTTATGAGTGATATTTGACTCTTTATATAAATGAACATTATCTGTATGCCTAAGAGCATATTCAAATAATAGCTTTTCAGACACAGACTTTTTTTTAAAAATAATTTTCTCTGGAATTTTTTAAATACAGGTTGGAACATCTTGAACCCTGTTGGTACTTGCCATAGCTGATCTGCTGCACACTGTTATTAAAGAAGTGGGATTGAATCTTTCACAAAAAAATGCAGCAATTCCTTGGGATTTTAAATTATTAATATAATAAGTTACTATGCAATCATAATGAGTCTATTTGGGCCTGAGGGAAACCATTAAATAAATGTATCTGATTTTCTCAGTGGCCTTTTTATCCAAAAAGGAATCAAATGTCAGAAGATTAGACACATTATAAGAAAGGGAAGCATATTTCAACTGCTTAAAGACCTCAAGTTTTAGGAACATCAATTTGTATTCTGATTTCAACATTAATTCACTAGCTATCTTATCTTCTATTCAGGTCTGTTGTTATTCATGGCATAGGTATACTATTTCTGACTCTCTTGACAGTTCTAAATATTTATGATAACATTTTTTTCTTCCCCTTTCGGAAGCAGAGAGTTCAAAATCAAAGCATGGAAACATGTGAACTATGACCTGATCTAGGTCCAAATAGATGGTAATTCATTGCCATTAGGACACTGTCAACCTCAAGGCACCCACTGAGATAAAAATTCCTGGCGCACTGTTGTACTCCATGGACAACAAAATCCATCTCAGTTTCAGAAATGTCAACGTATTTATTTTTAAATGCATTTTCCAGAGTCGATCAAATAAGTCAATAAAATACAGAATGTCTTAAGGTCAAGCTCTTCCACATTATATATATTCCCAACATTGGATAAAATACATAGCAATGTAAGCTGCTACTGTCACTTATAGTGCCATTGGGAAAATCACATTAAGGGATTTTCCTTCACTTTATTGCTTTATATCAGAACGCTGATACATGTACAAACCTACTATGTCTATACTGTGAACAATGCACCTTAGAGATGGTACGGTAAAACCCGAACAATCATTAGTGAAGCGTCTACAGGCACACTGCCAGGAACTGTGCTAAACATTTTGCAGCAATTCTTTTATTTCACCAGCACAATATTCCTAAAAAGTAGGGTAGCATTGTGATCCCTACGGTGGATGCTATTGGTGTCCCACACAGATCACCTTTACCCTCCGGTGGACCCATCCTCAAGCTGCAGGGAGCGATGGCTGACAGGAGCTCAGAGTTTTCCTTGCTCTTGAAAATTGCCCTCAGCCAAAAGGAAGCTTCCTCTCTAGTAGGTTCTGCCCCCCCCCCCCACCTATGGACTATCCCAAATATGCAAAATGCTGACCCTCTTGCCTCAAGGTGAGGTGGACACTGTGGTACAATTCACACTCCTGAGGGCCCAGTTGGATCAGGCAGGAGCCAGACTCTAGCTAAGCCCACATCAAGTTTAATTGCTTCCCCTTCCCTATCTGCTGCCCTCACTCCCCCACTCCTAAGAGCCTCCCTCAGGGAATCACATGCACGGAATTGCTTCTCTTAAAAAAAAAGTTGCAAGTGAATAGAGTCTTTGAGAAATTCGGTAACATTGTCACAAAGTTAGCAAGTGATGGAGCCACCCTGAAACCCAGATAAGCTCTGCTCTTAAGCTCAGGTGGGCTAGGATCAGACACACATTGCTCAGTAAAGAGGTTGCTACTCCTTTCTATGTCTGTCTTTTCAATCCTTCCATGTCTGTTAGCTTTTCTGCTCCTTTGTTGCAGAAGTGGAAGCGCAGACTATTGAAGAGCTAAAGCAACAGAAGTCGTTTGTCAAGCTTCAGAAGAAGCACTACAAAGAAATGAAAGAGCTGGTTAAGAGACACCACAAGAAAACCACTGACCTTATCAAGGAGCACACTACAAAATACAATGAGATTCAGAATGACTACTTAAGAAGGAGAGCGGCTTTGGAAAAGACAGCCAAAAAGGATAGTAAGAAAAAGTAAGTTGAATGAGCATGATTTGTTTGATGGCATGAGGAAGAGAGACATTTCCATGGATTTTTTTTTCATGTTTTGTATCGTATTTTGCACCTTGACCACTGCAAGAAGGAAAGCCACCCCATTCCCTCCATTATGGAGCTCTCCTGTCACCTCAGCTCAGTTTTGCCTGTGGACTGAATTTCTTTGTTTGACCAAATTCTGAGAATAGATATGCAGGGAATCCTATCCATGAGTCCTAGCCTATGAGCCCAATATCAACTGGCGGACTTTCCATAATACAGTGGCCAACCAGTAGGTATGAATTTTTTCTATGTACCTATACCCTAGTTGAAGAGACAGTTTGTCACAGAGAAAGAAGTCTCACCTATCCTTCGCTGCCCCATTGTTAACCCACAAAGCCCTGCAAAGGTAACCCTAGTGTTCGGATGTAGGGGTTCCCACGGCTCCATGTACCCAGTTTTGGGGTGGAGAGGCATCTCTCGCACATTTATTCAACCAGTGCTTATTGAGCACCAACTGTATGCCTGGAAGACACAGCAGTAACATGACCTACATAATTCTCTCACACAGTAACTGATGTGGTCATGTGGGAACTATGTGAGCAGGTAAGCTACCTGTCAGTGAGAGTTGGAGGGCTCTACTAATCCTCCCTTCCACTTCTTTACTGAGTAATCTTACCTTGATGCCAGGTTATAGAGAGAGGTAAGGTGCCTTTTTTCAGATCCATATTGTGAAAACAAGATTTAACATGTGATTAACTTAAAAGCACAATCAAAACCCAGTACTAGGGTTTTAAAAAAGCAGCAAAACCTTTATTTCTTAGAACTGGAACTGCCTCAGAAGCCATCTGGGTGAACTTTTGTCACTTCTTCAAGGAAGAAGCTGAAAGCTATAGGCATGAACATTTATCTGAAGTTACATAAACAGTTCCAGTAAAGCTTGGCCTAAAACTTCTCTAAATTTCTATTTTAGTGATATGTATGTAGTCATTTATTTATTCACATATTCATTTACTTATGTCTTATCCTGCAAACTTCCAATAGAGTGTTGAAGTTATTTACAGAAGATGTGTGTAAAAATCTTACCAAAAGCTGAGAACGAAAAACAACATACACACATACATACACACAGACTGAGTGGTTATCAGTTTCTTAGGCCTGCTGTCCAACACAGGATTCCTCAGCCACAAGTGGCTCATAGAATTTGAAATGTGCTCTAAGTATAATATAAATACAAGACTTCAAAGACTTCATTAAAAAAATATGAAATAAGTTATTTTTATATGGACTTACATTGATTTTATTTTAATTGCATGTTGAAGTGATAATATTTGGGGTATGTTTAGGTTATATAAAATATATTATTAAAATAAACTTCACTCATTTCTTTTTACTCGTTAAGGTAGCTACTAAAAGTTTTAGATCACATATGCGAAAAAAATTAACTGAGGCTCATGTTGAATTTCCACTGGACAGCACCAACCATTTAATGCAATTTCTGTCCTAGAACACTGAATATAGTCCTTAGCTTCCAAGAAAAGGAAATATGGGTTAGACAGTTCTCCTCATCTAATGAAAGGAAACTTGCTTGCTTTTCCAAGAGAGACAAACATTTTCCTGGTATTAAATTACAGAAGAATTCATCTCATGGATCTTAAACAGGAGACATTAGCCAACAGGGGATATTTTCAACTCTGTTTTTACAAAAGATACAGAAACATTGTTCCCTTGGTTATTTTTTAATACTTCCCCTCAACACACAGATGGAAGTCCGTAAGCATGAAGCATCAAAAGACACATCGGGAGAAGCCTCCTTTCAAAAGTCAAAACCACTGAGGCCTGATCATGTCTGCCACCTCCCAACCTCCTTCATACACCTTAAACTCCTGAGAATAACTCGGCAATAAATGGATGGAATGTTCGTTAGACTTTCTTTTTTTTATTCACATATCCATCCTCTCAACTTAGCTTTCCACAGACATGTCCATAAGACATAAGATCATAGATGGATAGTTTCTGTCCAGACACTGGCATGCATGATTCTGTACTGTAATTGTTTGTTGTTATTTTTTAATAATCCTCACCTGAGGATTTTTTTTTTAATATTGATATTCAGAGAGAGTAGAAGGGAAAAAGGAGGGGGAAAGAGAGGCAAAAAAACAAACAAACAAAAAACAACAACAACAACAAAAAAAACACATTGATGTAAGAAAGACACAATGATTGGTTGCTTCCCCAACTGAGGTGAGGAATAGAACCTGCAACTAAGTACATGCCCTTGACCTGAAATCAAACTAATGATCCTATGGTCTAAGGGCCAATGCTCCAACCACTGAATGACCAGCCAGGGTTCTTTGCTATACTCAAGACCTTGCTTTTCCCAGGAGTCTGGCCTCAGGTAAGGAGCATTGTAGTATCCTCCCCTCCCAGTATCCTGAGGCAGTGTCTCAGCGAACCTTGGCTTCCTCAGATATTAACTGAAGATACTCATTCTCCTCTTTGCATTGTTGTGAAAGTAGAAAGTGCTTGGCACATATCGAGTGGTCACAAATGTCTTGTCCTCGGCAGTTCAGCCTGTCCTTGAGGTGGGTTATCGAAATATTTATTCCCAAACACAATGCTCTCTCTAGAAGGAACACTGGTGAACCACTGGACTGTGACCTGCTTGTTTTGTGAGTTAAGCTCTGTGTCTCTGCAGAACGGAACCCAGCAGCCCTGACCATGGCTCATCAACCATTGAGCAAGATCTGGCTGCCCTGGATGCCGAAATGACCCAGAAGTTAATTGACTTGAAGGACAAGCAACAGCAGCAACTGCTTAATCTTCGACAAGAACAGTATTACAGTGAAAAATACCAGAAGCGAGAACATATTAAACTGGTAAGCCCAAGAAACGTGGTTTATGTTTGTGTGGCCGGAACCGTATTTTCAACAGAAAACTTTGGATAACTTAAAGTTAGACTGCGGCAGATGTGGCTGGCGCCTTCCTGGTCCCTCCCCCAATAATATTATTTTGATGCCAGGTTATAGAGAGAGGTAAGATGTGTTTTTCAGATCCATATTATGACATATGATTAACATACAAACACAATAAAAACCCAGCACACAGGTTTTTTAAAGCTGAAAATCATCATTTCTTAGAACTGGACATGTGTAGTGTTCACCACACTAATAATTTATAAGTCCCCTCTTCCACATCTTTACAAAGCTCATCTCTGTTCCCGAATGAGGCTATGTTTTATTGCTTTTATTTTCACTGACATGTATGGGGTTATAATAGCCTTTTGAGAGCTTTGAAATATCACAAGGAACTGAAAAACAATTTAAAAAGATTAAGACCAGCCCTAGCAGGTTTGGCTCAATGGATAGAGTGTCGGCCTGCAGACTGAAGGGTCTCAGGCTTGATTCCGGCCAAGGGCACATGCCTGGGTTGTGGCCTTGATCCCCAGGAGGTGGTGTGCAGAAGGCAGCCAATCAATGATTCTCTCTCATCATTGATGTTTTTATCTCTCTCTTGCTCTCTCCCTTCCTCTCTGAAATCAATAAATATATATTTAAAAAAATTAAGACTATGCTGATAATAAATATTCACTTTTATTGTACCTCTTGGCTTCTTAAGAACTAAAAACAATTATACAGCCTACTATTCTCCTACATTTAGAAAAGTCACTATCTAAGTGGTAAGCATGGAGTGCTGTATACCCAATTGCTCAGGCTCCCAATGAAATAAAATGCCATCATCTCTGTTAATGACCAGTTTTATCTTCCAAAATGTTTTCTTGTGAATTCTGGCATTTCCTTCATTGTTGTTGATGCCTTGACACATAATAGGGACATGGTTAATATTTGGTATAGGTAAATTAAATGAATCATTCAATAAAGTAGCCTTGAATACAAGTTTGTGCCCAAAACAAAACGAATGAACTAGCTTCATATAAAGTAGTGTCCCCAAAGGAAATGGGTTCTGAGAGGTGTTTGTATGACCTGACCATTTCTTTGTTGAAGGTGGGTTCAGGTTAAGAGAGTTCTAAAGCAGTTTCTGCTGACAGGTTAGCTATCCGTGGGCGGTGTAGCCAGAATAAACAGTGCAATTCTGTTGTTCGATTACTGATTGCCACTGGCAATATGTCAGTGAGTCTGTTTAAATCTCAGGAGGAGTTTATCAAAATCAAACCCCATAACCCCATACATGTCAGTGAAAATAAAAGCAATAAAACATAGCCTCATTCAAAAGATTCCACTTGGTCAATTATTGTCAACTTCAGCCTGCATCAGAATTACCTGGAGAGCTTGTTAGAGCAGATCACTGGGTCCCAGCCTGCATTCCCAATTCCACAGGCCTCTCCTAAGGCGTCTGGTACTGACCCTCTGGGTCCGGGGACCACACTTGGAAACACAACTCCTCATCCCTACATGGGAGCCTCGGGATTTATCTTTTATAAACTCCACATGATTTTGATGGGCCACCTTATTTGTGAACTGTTAAAATAAGACATGAACAGTGAAAGAACCATGGTGCAGCAGTCAAGTTTGGTGTAGGAAAGGGATTGCCTGGGTCAGAACCTGAGAGAGTCAAGGTGAAGTTTAATTGGAGATAATGCCTTTGGGACCCACGGCAAACACTACCAATCTGCTTTCTCCAGTGCACCATCCCTAGTATTGCAGAAAATAGTAATAACATAATTACTATGTATTGAGCACCCATCATGGGGCTATGCACTGTGCTAAGCCATTTACAGGAACTGCCCAATTTAACCTTCATTATAACCACTGGATTTGGGTACTGTTGTAAGCCCATTTAGCAGATTAAAAATCTCCTAGAGAAATGTAGTGACTTTCCCCAGGTTTCACAGCTGGAAAATAGTGCAGTTGGGTTTTGAATCTTGATCTTCTGATTCTAGAACTTCTGCTTTAAAACAATAGTGCAGGTACTTCCACTAATTCAGATGTCAAGCCAACGTTATAATAATGAGCTCACATCAATTGCATCGACTGTGAGTACACAGCCAACTCCTTCATTAGGATGATTGGGTACTGTGCCACTCTCTCTTTTTTTCTTCTTTTAAAAATATATTTTATATTTTATTTTTAGAGAGAGAGAAACAGAGAGTGGGAGAGAGAAATATTGATGTAAGTATAAAACATTGATTGCTGCCTCCTGCATGCTCCATTCAGGGGATTGAACTGCAACCTGGGCATGTGCCCTAATCGGAAATCAAACTGGAAACCTTTCAATGCATAGGATGTCACCCAACCAACTGAGCCATACTGGCCAGGGCTCTCTTTTAAATTTAACAGAAGTATTTCCCATACCATTCAGTTCACTCATTTAAAGTGTACATTCAATGGTTTTTAAATTGGATCTCAGATAAAGCCCCAAACACTGTGGGGCTTTGGACACACACATATAGGCCTTTACTAAGAGGGTTAAGTCCAAAGACCGTGGATTTAGAACCAAAGTTTATTTTAGAGCTATTAGGGAGCATCCGCAATATACATTTCATGCCTTTTAGCTAATGTGTGTATCAGAACCTTCAGTCAACTCCATTTCTGCTGGGAAAGCTTTTAGTGAAAGGCACACAGAACTGTCAGTTCTATCTGTGGTTGTAGTTCTGAATTATGAACAGGCCTTTTAGGCTAAATTAGACAAATGGAAGTGTAATTAAAAAGTCAGTAAGCCCCAGGTAAAAAGGAGTATTTGGGTGATGAGAAAAATTAAAACAAGATATTTTATCTTCCAAAATTGCTTTGGGAATTAAATACACATGTATCTTTGTTAAGGATTTTCAAATGCCAGCACCCACAGTTCAAGGATCTAGAAAGAAATCAAGGCATCAGTAAGCTACCTGCTAAATAATCATAAAAAAGTAAATGTTTACAAAATGCTCTGGTAGGCACTGGAGATAAGGATGAAGATACACAGAGAGAACATATATTACAAACAGTTATTTTACCAGGTCAATCAATGAGATAATAAAGGTCTCAACAAATTGATATAAAAATACATTTGTGAGAACTTTATGTCTAACTGTATACACTGAAAACGTTAGGGGACTATTTTAATGAATTGTTCATATTATCAGGGAGGTGTAAAATGCACACCACGTGACATAGACTACACCTTCAAAGGATTTTCTTTTTTTATACATGCCTACATAAGGATCTTCATCTTTAAAGTTCTATATCTAAAGAGTAATGCAGTCTGGTTACTTCAAGTGAAGCCCCCACTCACCTGGCCCCATCTGCTAAATCACAATTTGCATTTTTAAAGGAATCCGGGACCTGTTACACATGCAAGTTGAAGAAGCACAGTTTTAGAGCTATCTACCCTTACCTTTGCTCAGTAAGACTAGAATGAGCCTAAAATTCCTTTTAGTTAAATGGGAAATTGAACTGCTATCTACTGACAGCAGATTATTGAGCTGGATGAGTATCTATTAGTGCCCAAGTCGCAGATCCTATGGAAATTGCTCCTGTGATTTCCAGCATCACCAGCTGCCAAAAGGTTGACCCTGAGTTTTGCCCATTCAGTTAGGGTTAGATTTTAATTTTGAAGTGACTGTGCTAAGTGCAGGAAATTCATAGGTGATCTCCCTGAGGATTTCTCCATCACTCTCAATAATCAGCCACAGCACCAGAATTCAAGGCTTGACACCTCAGCATAGTGAGAGAGGATTTGGAGAGGTCCATAGGCCATTCCTCCGTCTCAGCAGTGGTTGGCCTGGCATTTTGTTTTCTCATTTCTTCCTTCTCGGTGGCTTTAAACAAATATTTCCTCTCTTCCTCTCAGTCATCACACTCTATTCTGGGCAGAGGCTTGTTTTGTTTTGCTCTGTATCTCACCTTATCTCCTCTGTTTTATTTTAAGTCTCCCACGTGTTCTAATTGCATTCAGGTCTTCCTTCCTTCACATCAACCTTAATAGTCCATGTTCTTATACATCCTCCTGCCTGTCCCAGTAGCACTCATTTGTGGCTCCAAACCCACACGAGTGCCCATCCACCTGAGTTCCCCAGGACCCTGCCAGTCCCGGGGTTTCACAGTGAAGGCTCTGGGTAGTAAAAACTCTGGGTGGAAAATGATCAGCTGTGAATAGATGGCCCATCAGGATGGGAGTAGTGATGAGTGCAGGTCTAGTCTCAAATCTCATCATTTCTGGCCAATGCTCCCCACTGGTAGCTGTACTTCCTCATTTGTCCATTGAAGATAAAAATAATCCTCACTTCATTAAACTGTAAGAAGGCATAATGAGATAATGTACAGAAAACATTGTTTTAAGTGTAAGCCTCCTCCCTTACCCCCCGCCCGTACAAGGATTGGCTAAGACCTTAGTCGGCAAACTGCGGCTCACAAGCCACATGCAGCTCTTTGACCCCTTGAGTGTGGCTCTTCCACAAAATACCACGGTCTGGGCGAGTCTATTTTGAAGAAGTGGCGTTAGAAGTTGTTTAAAATTTTTACTCTCAAAAGAAATTTCAATAGTTGTACTGTTGATATTTGGCTCTGTTGACTAATGAGTTTGCTGACCACTGGCAGAGCTCTTGAGTTCAAGCATAAATGTGTATTGCATTTTCTGACTTCCTGCTATGGCCTGAGGGGGCTCATCCTCTTCCTTTAATGGTTTCTATCAGCACCATCTGCTGTTGCTGCCTGCCTGGGAGTCAATCTTGAATTATCTTCCCTCTGTGGTTGCCTTGCTGAAGTCTATGCCCCAGGAGGAACTGCAGTGTCAGGAAATATCGCCACTGCCTTTGTGCTAGTGTTTTCTGTCTTCCTAAAACAGTCTGACTTGAACATAAGGTCATTTGTCTTGAGAAATAACAATATAATTTCCCCCAAAACTTTATATTCTCTGCCAAGGAGGAAATGACAAAACAATA